GGCGGGGGTGGCGGGGGCCAGGGCCAGACCCCGGAGCTCGCCTGCCTGTCGGCGCAGAACGGGGAGTCGTCGCCGTCGGCAGCGTCCGCGGGCGACCTGGCCCATGCCAACGGGCTGCTGCCTGCCGCCCCCTCCGCCGCTGGCAACAATAGCAACAGCCTGAGTGTCAATAACGGGGTTCCCGGCGGGGCCGCCGCGGCCTCCGCCACCGTCGCCGCAGCTGCCGCCGCCCTGGCCACCCCCGAACTGGGCAGCAGCCTCAAGAAGAAGAAGCGGCTCTCTCAGTCCGATGAGGATGTCATTAGGCTCATAGGACAGCACCTCAATGGCCTAGGACTCAAGTAAGTGTCGGTGCTGTAGCTGGCCGGGGCCGAGCAGCGGGGAAGGTTGCCGGGGGGAGGGGGGGGACACCCTGGGGCCCAGGGAGGGTCGGGGAGAAGTCAAGGAGTGGGGCACGAATTGGGCCCGACGTGGGACCTGCCGGACCGTCGGGGCTGGGGAGGGGTAGTGACTCCCAGGGGGACCCCTCTCAGTGCACCTCCTGAGCTCGATTGTCCGTCGGGGAAGGCGGACGCCCAGGGTGTCTGTGCTGGGGGAGGGGTGGATGAGAGCAATGGAAATAATGAACCTTGGAGGATTTGTTTTTCAAGTGTATCTCAGAGGCATCTTTGTGGGACACCTCCCCACCCCCAACCATGACCGACAACAGCCCAGGCAAGCTACCAATCAGGAAGGACAGTCTCCTACAAGTGTTTATGGGAACTAAAGGGGCTGGGGTGATTTGGAAAGAGGCTTGGCGAAGAAATCTGGTGGGAATAATGAAGATGCTGAGTTGATGTCATGTAGAGGCCTTCCTGTACGTACAGGAGGCCTAGCACCGGCTAGTCCGAAATCTCACTTTTAAACCACGAAGATTGCCTCTGAAAAGGGGATAACTTGGCTGGTGAATCGGTTGTTTTCAAATACAGTTTGGGTGGCCTTTGACATAGGGTGAAGATAGACACCGAGTTTGGCCTAAACCCAGCGTTTTGTACACAAACAAAAGAAAAACTAAGGGGGTTAGAAGTAGGATTTAGGTGGGAGTGCCCTGGAGCTGGATGGTGGTGCCACAGTGAGCTGAAGGGAGGAAATATGCAACAGTTTCCATGCTTCACAGCTAAATTAAAATAAACTAGGCTGACCTATCTGTAGTTTTTAAGTACTGGTGAATCTGTTGGGGAGCAGGGTGGACAGCTCTTCTTTAGAATGACTTTTAAATGTTTTGATTCTCAAGCAGAGGGCTGCACTGTTCAGCCCAAGCCTAAAGTAGAGCTTAAAGAATCCCCTAAGTTGGGCCACAAATAAATACATGACTGGCAAACGAAGATTCTTAGATACCAAAATATTTGGTATAAGAAACCACATTTGATGCATTGTTCAAGCTCTAGGAGAAAGATTTCACTTTATTCTCTAAGGAAAAGAATTAGTGTGAAAACAAATTCTGTAAATGCTAACAACACATCACAGAGAAGCAGCAAGCTGACAGCAGTAGGAGGAAACAACTCGTGACTGTTTGGAACCTACACAGTAGTAAATTGGCTATTTTTAGTATAGAGAGAAAGGAAATGGTTTTTGATGCTGGATTTATTTTAATTTTAAAGATTGACCTAGCAGAATTATGTGTGAGCATAAATGTCTGGGTAGAAAGCTCTACCTGGCACAGACCATCTGTCACCTTGTGTGGAGCTAAAGATTTTACCTTTCAAAATGTAGTACCCTAAGTGGTATATAGATTGCCGTTTTTTGGCCAGTTGGTTAGACCACATTTTTAGAAATTGTATATATCATTAAATTTCTGAGGCATTAAATGGCAAGAGTAAGAAGAACTTCATTACGTTTTTAAGAAAGGTTTTTAACTTTGAATGTAGATGATAGTTTTAAATCAAGTTTGTTTAACCAAACATTTTAAAGCTCTTTTCTTCTTCATGAAGTTGCAAGCGTTAGTATATTAGGAAGAATAAAACCCTGAAGATGGTCAGGTCTTTTTTACACTGTATCTCTCCTGCAGCCAGACTGTTGATCTCCTCATGCAAGAGTCAGGATGTCGTTTAGAACATCCCTCTGCTACCAAATTCCGAAATCATGTCATGGAAGGAGACTGGGATAAGGTAAAGTAGGGCATATAGAACTGTGTGACTGCTGCTAAAATTATGGATTTGATGGGTGTTTTGTGACATTTCTGTTTCTCTTTTATACCAATTTCTGCAGGCAGAAAATGACCTGAATGAACTAAAGCCTTTAGTGCATTCTCCTCATGCTATTGTGGTAAGAGGCGCACTTGAAATCTCTCAAACGTTGTTGGGAATAATTGTGGTAAATACACTTTTGTTCTTAGTTTCACATTTATGCTTATTTTAGTAGGTTATTGATAAATGTAGGCATTTGACTCTTTAGAGACTTGAAAGTAAATTTTATGTAATTAAATGTATAGACACAACTCTAGTTTAAACTGAGTTTTATATATTTTAAGTCATGCTTAGTAAATGTCATTGGAAGCAGTTTGTAAGTTAAGCTCTACAAAAATTGAAAGATCTTCATGCTTTTAGTGTTGTTAACAGGAGCTTTATATTTTTTAGCATCAAGGATAAATTATATTTTATATTACTTGAAATTCTGAATGTACTGGTTAAAGAGAAAATGTGTTTAGGTCTGTGTAAAGAAGCTGATACATAAATTACTCTTTGTTTTAATCATTGGGAGTTATAGTTCAGCCAAACCAATACTGTTGGTATGCTCACCATTTTGTCTTCTTACATTCCAAGTTGTATGAATTGACAATCGAAGTTGTTATAATATGTACCACTCTGGGGAAAGGTTTGGATGCAGGTTAGACCATTGGGTCCTGCTTATTACCATCCTTATTTTCTTGGCAAGATCAATTTAGTAGTTTATCCTGTAAGCCTCTTTCATAAACCTCAATGATTGTTTTTATGCTTGATGGGTTTTGATTCTTTAGTTGGTAAGGGAGAGGAAGGGGTGTATTTTTGTTTGTTTTGTTGTGTTTTTTAAATGCTGGTGATTGGAAAGCATGAAGAATCAGCTGTTGGCTTTTAAACTTCTAGCTGATTCATTTGTTGTCAAAAGCAGTTTCCTGTCTGGTAGGGGAGGGAGAGGAGGAGAACAGGAAGTGAAGTAGGGAAACCAACCAGCTGTTTGTTAAATATTAGTAAATGACCTTAACATTTTGGTTCTTTTTTAATTGGGTCAAACATTAACCTCTTTTACCTTTGTTTATATAGATAATAGAACTTTGGTTTTTTGTTTTGTTTTGGTTTTGGTTTTTTAATCTTATTGCAAAACAGCTTCAAATTCTTTAGATAGTTCTGTACAGTAATAAAATATTAGAAAGTGGGTTTCAGGCAAATTAAAGGTCCAAAGAAATATGAATAAATATGGATTTAGTTAAATTCATGGTTCTGCTCTTTCAATAAATTCTCAAAATATTAAAAAGGTAAACCTCTACCAAGTTAAAAGATAAAGTATTTAAATATCTGTATTCAAAGGGATTAAACTTTTTTCCAGAAATACAAATGTGTTTCATCAATCAGTGTTGTTTGGGGTTTAGAACCTAAATGTACTTTAATTGGACAGTTCACAAATTTTTTGGCTCAGGCTGAATGAGCTTAAAGAAAGAAAATGAAGTGGCCAAAATAAGAACTGGGTTCCTCTTCCATTGGGCAAACCAGCACTACTAGTATGGTGGCCAGAGAGAACTTACTTGTTAAGTGTCTGCACACATATGATTCCCTGGAGATTATTTTCAGTTTTTAAGTTCACCCAAATTATATATGTATTTAGTGGTAAGGATTTTAATGGACTCGCTTCCTTTTAAAATTTATTTATAGTAATTTGAGACTTCTGTATTAGATTTAGATTATGACTCATTAGAAACCTTCAATAGAAGCAACATGTAAACTGGAGAAAGATAGCTGTAGATAATAAGGTAATCCTTTCTTTTTACAGCCTGTTCAGTCTGTGGAACATTCTAAGATCTAATAAAAGATGAAGATTAAGTCTCTGGCTGAGCCTCAGACCATCAAACTGTTTAGGTGTTGATACAAAGATAGGGGTTCCAACTTTTATTTCCCTTTAAAAGCATTGATGAAGCAATTGCTTTTAAAGATTCAGCTGAGCATTTTTTGAAGGCCATTTTTCACCTTTCTAATTGGCGTTTATACTTCTTCCCTATGTCATCACTAGAAGATAATTTAATGTAAGCTCAACTTTTAATAATATCTTAGAAGACAACTATTTGGGGTTTTAGCATAATTATTTTAATTATCTACCCAGACACATGATGACTTTGAATAGTTTAAAACTGCATCTTATTATTTCTAATGCTGGGGATTGAAGCCAGAGCCTTGTCAGTGATAGGCTACTGCTCTCCCACTGAGCTATATCCCTAGTCTTTAAAATTCTATTTTTATAAACCTGAATGTTTTTATTGATCCAGTTTACTCCCCTCATTTTTCTCTTGTCAACCCCATCTTAAAATGGTTCCTAGTCAGATAATACTAGGAATAGCAGATGTTGCTGTGGGTTTTCTGGAAGCTAAGGTCATGAATCAACATTTTTTTTAGTTTGAGTTCTGATATGCTTAGCCATGTCTGAGAAATTTAGGTGGGCATTTGAAACCAATAACAGAACATTGCTGTATGTTTACCAAGTCCTAATTTTTTTTTAATAGAAATATGCTTAACAAAAAGGTACAAATACTGACTTGACATACAAAAATTGTCTCATTTTAAAGTCAAATAGGAGTTTTGAGAGCCGTGTTGCTTCTCCTTAGGATGTTCTTCCAGGTTTAAAACCATCACAAAGTTAGCAGGCTGCCCTCAGTAACTAGGCTTCTTGTGCATCACAGTTTCTGAGTTTTTCTTCCATGTTAAAGTTCAGTCTAATAATAATGGGAGAAAAGAGTAGCAATTCAAATATTGGGTAAAGAGTAGAAAAGTGGACTCTAAACAGAGTTTGTAATTGCAGGTTTTTAGTAGATGTTAAAAGAGTGAGGAAGAAATGTTACTGGACTCCAAGATGTTGGAACTCATCAAAGGCCTGACAGAATCTTGCAGAGGTTCTAATTGCAAGTTGGAAAAGATAAAGGAAAGCTTTATTTCCTCATCCTTTTTCCCGTTCTCGCTTTTTTCAGAAGCTTCCGATTTTAAAAAACTGTTAGTAGAGCCCTGTCTAAGCAAGGTTCAGTTTTGCCTAAATTTTAAAAAAAAACAAACCCTCAGTAATGAAGATCATTTATGAATTAAAAGTTCTTTAGTTTCATATTGCTTTTTTGTGCTTTAAATTTGGGAAGGTAAAATACCCTTTTACTCTACATAGTATATGAAATAGAGTTGAGTTAATTTTTAGGTGAATAAACTTTTTCCTCAACAAACCCTCTAAGCTGTATTTGGCTAGCAGCATATTAGTTATCCTGTGCTGGACCAAACTTTGGTGTCCATTCGAGGATATTCTTTGTCTTAGGCTGGATAAAATGACTCATTAAAAAAATGTTCTCATACTGCTTTTATAGCATTCCCTGTATATACAGAAATAATGTGTTTGTGTTGGCTTCACTCAAAGGATTAGTTTGCCTTCCTCTTCTCTCCTGTCCCACCTCTGCTTCATAGAATGTGCTTTAAGAACTTGGTGGAAAATAGGGGAGTGATAACATTTGGGGCACTATCCCTATGCACGCTGGTTTGGGGAGCAAGGGGTGTTAGAACCTCATAATTGATAATGAGTAAACAAAAGACTTGCCCAGAATTAAAAGAAAAATTTCCCCCCAAATTCCCAATTGCTGAGAAACTTTAGTTAGAAATTAAGTCACGTGCTAGCCAGTTGCATATGACATTTCTGAAGTCTGAATAAAAAACACTGAATCAGCCAGAGGCAGGGTGAGCTCCTGTGTTTGAGGCCAGCCAGGACTACATAGTGAAACCCTGTCTCAAAATATATGTATATACCAAATTAAATGAAACTTTTTTGGTACACAAGATAAAATGGTGACAGAATCTATAGTAACTTAAATATAAACTTAAGAGTTTTTTTATTTAATCTTTCAGTTTTGTCACCTGATGAACTTCAAAATATGTTTTATTTGACATAATTAGCTTAAGGCTACATGTACAACATACTTTTCAAGGCAGCTTGGTGATTAGTCAATATCTGAAACTCATTAGTCTAACTTTATGTTTAAATTTGGTAAGTGTAATTTTCATAGCATGGAGCTTGTCTCACTTTTGAAATTTTTTTTTTCCTTCTTAAAGATTTAAAATTAGATTATCAAACATAAGTAATATATCTTATAAATGTTAAGCATTTGCCTAGTTTATATAAGAGAATTTATTTTTATTTTCTCTAGAAATAAATTTTAATATACAGGTATCAGGTCAGGATTTATTAAACATCTGTTGTGTTTGAGACACAATAGAAATAGTTTTTATAAACCTATAATGTATGCCTTCTAAATACTGCTTAATAGAAAACTTTGTAAGCAGTTCATTGTACTCTCAATTTTGTTACTACATGGTAATTTCTCCACACCATTTTGTAACAACTTATTTTTTAGTTGTTTTAAATAAGCATCTTAATAAAGAGGAAAATAGTGCAATTTAGGTTATTTTAAATGGACTTGAGCTCTTGTAGATTTCTTAGAGTTTCTAAACAATGATGAACATTTTCTGTATACTAATTTCTATATCAACTTGACTTACTCAAGCATCTGATATAATATGAAAGGGTCCCTCCAAACAGTGGTCCTTAATTAGGTTTAAAGTTTAAAAGATTCCAGATATGATATTCATAAATATCACTCCTCTAGTAAAAAGCTGCTGCTAAGATTGTGATGATCCCTCCCAAGTTAAAAGTAAAATGGTAATGGCGTGATAATTAAAAATGCTAAAACCAGGGCTAGGTGTGGGGTGGTGAATGCCTTTAATCCAAGGACTTGGGAGGCAGAGACTGGCGGATCTCTGAGATCAAGGCCAGCTTAGGATGCATAGCAAGTTCTAGGTCAGCAGGAGCTACATGGAGACCCTGTCTCAGTAAACCAAAAATAAGAGAACCAAGCACATTTCAGAAAACAAGATGGGAAAGTGTCTCACAACTAAAAAGTGGCTTAATCCTTGGGGACAAAGAATGAACGATAGTTAGCTGTGCTTCATTGTTAAACACATTAGAGATCAGATTATTAGGAGTATACTGATTACAAATATTGGATCTTTCTAAAGGCCATTAAGTTCAGCCTTCTAATGTAAGCACCCCCTCTAACTGCAAAGAGAATGAGAGGGCTTCTGCCTGCCTACTCTAGTCCTAGGGCCACCTGCAATCGCAGACCATCCTGCACTACAGTCCGTTTGTTAGAAAGCTCTTACTTTTGATTAGCCCAAATCTGGTACTTTACTAATACCTACTTCTACCTTGTGACTGTAGTTCATCTAGTCTCTTTTATTTAGTCTCTTTTTCACATTGTGGCTTAAAAAATTTTGTTTGGGGGTTTTTGTTGTTCTTATGGTGTTAGACTCAAATTCAGATCTTTGTACATAGTAGGCAAGCACTATGTCACTGAGCACTACCCCTAACTCGTGGCTTTTAAATAATTTCCATTAATTGAGATTTTTTTTCCCCAGTCTTTTTCAAAGCTTGTTGCATAAAATGATCAGAGCTCTATTAAGAAAGACAACTTCTTAAAAGCAAATCTGGAGTTCTTGAAATCATTCTAAATGTTCATATATGAAATAAAATTACAAGGAAATATTGAGAGCAGAATTCATTTTTCCTTATGTTGATGATGTATCAGTTGAGCCACTAATGATCCTGTCTGGAGATTATTCATGAGGTTTTTTTTAATATGTAGACTTGAGCAAAGTCATATTTAACCTACTATGACTCGTAAACCAAAGTATCTTGAGTCATCTTGAAGTTTTATAAAGTTATTTTCAAAAGGCATAGTAGAATGGTTTCTACTGTTCTGTTTAGGCACAAACTTTTCTGAAACTTCCGTCAACTTTTTTCCCCTGACTGCTGCTTTCTGTCATGTCAGAGGATGAAGTTTTTGCTGCTGCAGCAGAAGTACCTGGAATACCTGGAGGATGGAAAGGTCCTGGAGGCACTTCAAGTTCTACGCTGCGAATTGACGCCCCTGAAATACAATACAGAGCGTATTCATGTTCTCAGTGGGTAAGGAAGCAGAGTTCTTGGACTCCAGGTTGATAATTGGATTCAGTATTTTTACACAGGTTTACTCTGGGCCAAAGTTACATTTCATTAACATTTTTCTGAGATAGAAAATCCCCGAATATTGCTAAATCCTTAGTTTGGGTAAATTCACTGATGTGTGCACAATAGATGAAAGGGAGAAGGTATAAATGTAGCCAGTGAGATGCTGCTTCAAAGTCTGTAGAAGCTCTGGGGCCTGCTTGGATTGCACCAAGCAATGAAGTGCATATGAACTTTTTTAAAAAGTTCTTGCTAAGTGGTTTGCATACAAAATGATTTTATTTTTCTGTCAATCCTTTGACTGTTAGTTATCTACAGGCTTGTCCTGTGCCTTTCTTTTGTTCTCTATTTGCTTTTCTTAAGTAATCTCTTTGTTTTGCATTCCTTTTACATACTATCTCTGTGCTAGTGCCTCACATCTGAAGCTCATCCATATATGTCCGATAGCCTGCTTGACAATCACTGCCTGGATTTCTAATAGGCATCTCAAAATTGTGTGTTCACACACACACAAAAAAATCTTGTTTCCAATTGCATCTCCATCCACTCCCCTGCATATCTGGGCTGTCTCCAGTAAATGAAAGGCCTACCCAGTTTCTTAGGTCCAGCCCAAATGTCCTCTCCTCAGATCATCCACCTACTGTGCATTGTATAATTGTTTTGTTTTATGGTATTTTTACTGTATAATATGGTTTTAGCATCTGGTACATGTCCAACACACATAAATGAAATAAATGGACAGAAGAAGGTCCAAAGAGATAGAGGGTTCATTTTACAGATAAGAAAGCTGAGCCTCAAAGAAGTTAAGTAACCAACTCAAGATAAATCCATTCAATACATGCCAGGTCTCGAAGCCTGATTCTAAAGTTATTGGTCTTCAGTAAATTCTGCTGGATATTTTGATCTATGACTGACCATTTACTTTGTTCTGATTACCTTTTTCATGTGTGTCTCACTTCTTTATTACCTATGTGCTATTCACATGATATTTTTTTCCTTCTCCAAAAGAGAATATATAATTTAATACCTAGTTTTTATTTTGAAGTGGCCTTGAAAGAAAAGAAAAAAATTAATTCTTGCCAATGATGTGTCTATTCGTTTATACCATGTTCATAAATACATTCTAAAACCCAAAGCTTAATTGTGTGTGTTTTATGAAGGGCATAGATGGAACCATAGGTCCCTCATTTCTCTTACCAGAGATTTAACCTAGGCTCTTATATGTGATAAGTAAGCATCCATCACTGAGCTATATATTCCTGCCCTTTTTCTGCCTTTATTTTGAAACAGTCTAAGCTTCCCTGGCTGGTCTGAGCTTGAGATTTTTCCTGCCTCAGCCTTCTAAGTAGCTTGGATTACAGACCTATGTTACCTGGCTATGCTAGTCTTGAATTTGTTTCTTATTTACTGACAATAAATCCCCCCCGATTTTTTGTTTGTTTGTTTTGCATTTATTTTGTGTGTGCATATGTGTATACAACACGTGACCAGTCATTGGGATTACATTACATGAGCCTTTACCTGCTGAGCCATCTCACTGGCTCCTAAATTTTCACAATACCCAGGTTTTTTCTTTTTTTTATGAGACTTGTTGAATATAATTATACTTTAAAAGCTAATTCATCAACCAAAACATTTTTATACTAAATAGCAAGAAAACAAGTAGTTCTGCTGCTATGTGAGAGGCTGTGAAATGACTTGTACCCTAAATGATGTACACTTTCTATAGTTAAGAAAAGGAGGGGCATTCATTGCTCATGTTTTCTGAATGTTTTCATCGTCATCACTGAGTTTTTCTTATATACTTCGTTTTATTTAACCTTCACTGCCTGGTTGAATAGTCTTTATCCCTTACATAAGCGAAAAAAAACAGATCTGTTTGGCAGAGCAACAGACAAAACCACCAGGAGAGTTACTTAGCAGGTTTCATCTCCATGTTTGAATAATTCCTTTACTTTTCCTCATTCCTATCTCCTGAGAAAAGCCAGAATTGGGTTAGAAGTATGCTCCCTGCAGGAGGTCTTTATATATTTCCCAGAGCCCAGGAACTTCAGCATTCTTGCCATCATCTACACACAGTGAAGAATAAAACAGTTTCTAGGTTTTGTTCCCTGGAGCCTCAAAGCCTTCCATGATGTGAAGTAAGGGTGTCCAGTTACACCTATTTCCTTTTTTTTTTTTTTAAGATAGAGTCTCCCTGTAGCCCTGGCTAGCCTGAAACACTCTGAAAGCTACGTGTAGAGCAGGCTGGCCTCGATCTTACAGTGATTCACCTGCCTCTGCCACCCTGGAGAGTTGAGATTAAAGGTGTGCATCACCACATTGAACCAGTTACAGTATTTCTTTGGTCTTTTTGAGACAGGGTCTCCTGTAACCCCAGCTGGCCTGGAACTCACTACATAGGCCAGGCTGGCCTTGAACTCAACGAGATCTACCCGCCTTTGCCTCCAAAGTCCTGGATTAAAGGCGAGTGCCACCATGCCAGACTTACTATTTCTTTTTTTAGTTTATTATTTTATGTGTATGAGTGTATTGCCTGCATGTATATAAGTGCACCCTTGTTGTACAAGGCCACAGAGGTCAGAAGAGAGCATTGGATCCCCTGGAACTAGAGTTACAGATGGTTGTTATCTGCCCTCTTAAGTGTAAGTGCTAGGAATTGATCTTGGGTCCTCTGCAAGAGCAGCCAATGCTCTGTTTTTTTATCTTTTTGAGGCAAGGTCTCCCTGTAGCCCCAGCTGGCCCAGAACTCGCTGTGTAGACCAGGCTGTCCTTGAACTCACAAAGATCCACCTGCCTCTGCCTCCAAAGTGCTGGGATTAAAGGCATGTGCCACCATGCTTGGCCAGCAGCCAGTGCTTTTAGCCGTTAAGCCATCTCTCCAGCTCCTTATACCATTTCTTAAGTGATGCTTGTGGTTATACTCTCTTGAAGGTATGTTGTTTCTTAGTATAAGTTTTTTTTTTAGTATAAATATCTTTTAAGGTTTTTTATTTGTTTTGATATGTGGTGTGTGAACATGAGTGTGCTGGTACCATGCTGATGTCAGAGAAGGACATTGGGTGTCTTCTTCTGTTGCTGTCTATCTTACTGCTTTGAGACAGGGTCTCTTCTTGAACTGGAATCTTGTATTTTTTAGCTAAGCTAGGAGGCACCTGAGCTCTTTATTTACCTATCTCTGTTCACCAACATTGGGGTTACTGGCCTATGTCATCCTGCCTGGTTTTTTTGCAAGGTTGTCAGGTCCTCATGCTTATTGAGCAAGTACTTTTACCCACTAAGCCATCTTCCTTGCCCCTAAGTTGGTTGAAGTTGTTTTTAGTACTGAATTTCTGTTGTGAAGCTGTGGAATTACAAAGTGGTTAAGAGCAAGGTCTGCACTAGAATGCCTGGTTCTTGCATTCCTGCTTTGCCTTCCTCCTCTCAAGACTACTTACTTAAGCCTTGTCTATCTGGGTTTCTTCATTTATACTATTAACAGTAATAGTGTTTGCTTCATATGTGGTTGTTGCCGACAGTCAGTGAAATGTGTTGAGGGCTTGGAACAGACTCTGGCACAAAGTAAGCTATGTGTATAACACTATAGGAGAATTCTCTATTAGATGGCAACATTGGCATTGTGTATTCAGCTATTATACATTACATTTAAAAAAATGTTATGGGGGGGCTGGAGAGATGGCTCAGTGGTTAAGAACACTGGTTGTTCTTCCAGAAGACCAGGGTTTGAATCCTAGCACCCACATGGCAGCTAACAACTGTCTGTAACTCCAGTCCTGGGGATCCGACAGCCTTTTCTGACCAGTTCAGGCATTGCACAACACGGGTACACTTACCTACATGGAGGCAATACACGCATACACATAAAATGAAAACAATAAAATTATTTTAAGAATTACATGGATGAGCCAGGTTGTATTAATGAATTGAGTTCACTGTAAAAATGTTTTTTCATTATTTGTTTTAATAAGAACTTGATTGCCAAAATTAAATGTTTTTGCAATACATTTCAAAGAAAAGGGTTTGAAATTTGTGGCTTACTCTGTTTTAGGTATCTGATGTGTAGCCATGCTGAAGACCTACGAGCAAAGGCTGAATGGGAAGGGAAAGGAACAGCTTCCCGGTCCAAACTACTGGACAAGCTTCAGAGTAAGAGTCATCTTTTATGTTAATTTCTTCTTAGGTTGGAAGTAGATGCTATAGATCAAATAGCTTTATATCCAGACATTTGCTGAGTGGTTGTGGAAGAGGAGGAATCTGTTGAGGAGTCCTTTAAAACAAAGATTTTCTAACTCTGCCATAGTTCACCTCAGGAGTCAGTGAAAATGTACTAGTCCTAGAGCAGTTCTTTTGTGTTAGTGATGCTCTTAAGGTTTTCTTTGGAAGAAAACTACTGAGATTGAAGAAAATATGTAAACCACATCTTTAAGCCATTTATAACTTTAAGGCATCTTATCATTTTTGTTCACTTCTGTAGTAAGGCCCAGATTTCTTCTAAGTAATTTATTTTATTCTCCCAGTGGTGCTATGTAACTTTCAAATTGTGTTAGGGATTTAATTTTTGCCATATCTTTATGTAAAACACCCTCTCCTTTCTCTTCAAATCATACTATCATATCATTTGCAGTAAGAGTAGAAATCTGAAGAGTCAGAAAACACACTCCATATGCCTGGGAGAAATGTAAAGCTTATAAGAGGATTGGAATAAGTTTGTCTTGATATCAAGACACCTCTCTGAATTTCTCCAGTATTCCTGGCAATAGTACCGATTGGTGGCATCTAGAATTTGGCTTGTCCAGTGTTTTGGCTTGCTTTTGCTAAGTGCTCAGTGTTAGTGATGATTTTCTTTCTTTTTCAAAAATTTTAAAAATTATTTTATGTGTATGCGTATATTGCCTGCATGTATGTAAGTGCACCTGTGTTGTACAGTGCCTGCAGAGGTCAGAAGAGGGTGTCGGATCCCCTGGAACGGGAATTTCAGACGATTATGAGCCATCATGTGGATGCTGGGAGTCGACCTGGTTCTCTGCAAGAGCAGCAAGTGCTCTTAACCACTTAGCCATCTCTCCAGTCCCTGTGTTGATTTTCTTAAACTGATCTACTGATACATAATCATCATTAGATTTTCTTTTCGTCATCTTTTTGGTGTTTTTGAGACAGGTTCTCCCTGTAGCCCCAGCTGTCATCTTTTTGTTTTTACAGTATTTTAATGTTGTTTTCCCCCAGAAAATCTGCTTACAAAACAAAACCCTGCTATCTAAATAGTATATCCCTTTCTAATGACAATATTGGTGTTGCTTTTGACCATCAACCTTACCATATATGAGCTCCCCTAGACCTTGTCTGCGTAAAGGAAACAATATTACTGAGGTAGAAGGAAGTTCAGCAGAAGAGGAATAAATTGTCTTAAATGAAAGTTTACAGTTTATTATTATTTTTATTTCTCTTTTTTAAAATATCTTTTATTAAAGCATATTTACCACCATCAGTGATGCTTCCCCCACGGCGTTTACAGACTCTCCTGCGGCAAGCGGTGGAACTACAAAGGGATCGGTGCCTATACCACAATACCAAACTTGACAATAATCTAGATTCTGTGTCTCTACTTATAGATCATGTTTGTAGTAGGTAAGAGGAAAATTCTTCTATTCTCTAATGGTAGCATTTTGTAGATGTAATTATGAACTTCATTAGACTTTTTTCTAGGGTTTCATGGTGTAGCTATGTAACAGTTCATATCTGGTTTACCATTTGTTCACAGTAAAGCCAGGACACTAAACTTGAAAATTAGTAGAAACTTGCACATTTATATAGTAAGGCACAGTTGGGAGCTGAAGCCTGAAAGCCAATTTTTTCTGTTCTTGTCTGTGGAGTTTGTTTAGTCTTTTTCTGTGCCTAACAGTCTTTTTTTCCTAATTAAAAGCTCTGCATTTTATTTTTAGAAGAGGGGCTCTAAGAATGGTTAGAATAACAAGCATTAACTTTGTGTATTTTAGTATTATACCAAACCATATCAAGAATCTATGCTTGTCTTTTGGTGTTAGGAATATTTTAAGTAGTAAAAGTTTATTTTTTTTCTATCTTAATGACTCTCTCCAAAATTAAATCACAGTTTTAATTTTATGCAAAGATACAAATTGTGAACCTTTTCAAACTGCAGGAAGGAAATGTTTTATTCTGGTCAGCCACAGGTTGAAGGGGGAGAGAGCTATAATAAACATGCTCCACTGCTTCTGCCAAAGCTTATTGAAGATCTGATGAAAGTAATGAATAGGAAGAACAGAACTGTCTATGTGAGGGCTTTGGGTCAGTAAGGAACTTTGGAGTACTATAAGTATGCACATATCTAAATATTGGCTTAAAATAAGTTTTAGGTGTATAAACAGATTTTTTTGTTGTTGTTTTTGTTTCTGGGCTTTGAGGGGAGGGGCATATTTTGTTTGTTTGGTCTTTTGTCAGTGCTAGGGATGGAGCTGAGGTCCTTCTGAATGCTAGTTAAGAACTCTCTGCCATTCAGCTACATCCCCAGCCCCTGCTTGTGTAGGTAGGTTTGGTTTATTTTTTTGTTTTTTTGAGACAGGGTCTTGCTGTAGCCATAGCTGGCCTGTAGACCAAGCTGACCTGATCTCAGAGATCCTCCTGCTTTTGCTGGGATTAAAGGCATGTGCCACTATGCCCATATGTAGTTTTGACTTCACTCACCCTACTTATAAGAAAAAAAATCGTTTGAATTATTGGACAGTAATTTAAAATTTAAACAAGCAATTTGACTTGTTTTTGAAGATTTTTTAAAACATTTTACTTAAGTTTAAATTGAAAAAAAGTGGGGCTGGAGAGATGGCTCAGCAGTTAAGAACACTGACTGTTCTTGCAGAAGACCCGGGTTCGAATCCCAGCACCCACATGGCAGCTAACAACTTCCAGTGACTCCAGTTCCAGGGGATACAACAGCCTCTTCTGTCCTCCATGGGCATTGCATGACACGGGTGCACTTACCTACATGCAGGCAATACACGCATACACATAAAATAAAAATAAAATTTTTTTTTAATTGAAAAAAGAGGAGACATTAAAAGGCTATATAATATAGTTCCATGTTTCATAGCTCCTTTAGGAGGTTGAAAACAGTGTTAGAATTAAGGCACCCATAGACATAGATCTCATTTTGGGTCCTAAATTTATTTCTGTTGGAATACAGTAAAAGGTGATAGACTTGATGGTATAAGAGGTGTCAAAGGCTGACTTTTTCCTTCCTATGTGGAAATGGAAATACATGAGAATGTTGATTTCACCCCGCTCATTCTTCCTTAACTTCTTACATCACTCTTTTTTGAACCTGGAGCTCACCAATTCCAGAATGTCTTTCTAGCCACTGTGCTCTAGGAACCCATCTCCCCCTTCTGAAGCTCATCATGCCCACCTGGCATTTACATGGGTTTCTGGGGATCTAAGCTTTGGGCCTTTTACTTGTATGGCAAGCACTTCACCTGCTCAGTTCTCTATCTCAGGGGGGAATTTACCCAGTTTACCAAACCAGAAGCCACCTCCAGCTCCTCATTCTAGTAGATTTTAAAGACGCCTTAAGACAGTAACATCAGGCATTAACTTAGTAAGTTGTACCCTTCATTATTTTCCTGGAAAATACAACCTGAGTTTAATTCCTTTAAGTTCAGCTAGAGGTCTTCAGAAGGAAAAAGTTGACAATTTTTACCATCTGTTTTATTTTCTTCTAGAAACTAGATTTTAGCATTGGAACTAGAAAGGTTTTTTTTTCTTTTCTTAAATTAAATGTAAGCATTGAAAAATTAAATGTTAAGCATTGTAAATTCCTCTGGAGATCAAAGACTTGATTATCAATACCTGAATTATGACTTAAATACTTTATTTTTATTTTATATGTTATGAGTGTTTTACCTGCATGTACGTAAGTACACCCATGCTTGGGATGCCCATGGAGGCCCGAAGAGGGCATTGGGTACTCCCCAGAACTGGTTGTTAGCCACAGTGTGGGTGTTGGGAGCCAAAACCAGGTCTTCTGCAAGAGCAGCTAGTACTCTTAACTGTTGAACCATCATTCCAGCCCCTTGAATTATTACTTTAAAAACACATAAATAAACACTGAACAATTTTCATTAGAGGGTATAAAATTCATTTTTTCAGTTAATGTGCATCCATTTTTTGGTTAAATTTGACCAGTGAAGAACAATAATTTTACTTTTAATTCTGTGGGTGCTTTTCACTGGCAACCAATGGAAATATTTTCACAGGTAACTTTTATAAGCATCAAATTTTTAATATAGAATTATTGTAAAATACTTGTAGATACAATTTGAAGATTCAGTTTGGTCAAAATGCTACAATTATTCAATTTTATTTCAAATAGTACTACTTTTAATACCATCTTAAATTTTTACTCATGATGAACTTTAGCCACTAAAATTTTTTGGTTGAAATTTTATCTAGTCTTTGAAAAATATTATTTAAAGTTGACATTTGGAAAGACAATGCAGCCAACAGTAGTTCAAAATTTAGTTCAGTTTCTTAATAATTTATGATACCTGGCAAATTTCCTATTTGAGCTTCATGAAAACGGGTAGGGGTGATAGAATTTCTTTTACCGAAGTAGCTTCAAGAATTAACATTCTATAGAAAGCATCACACACTGTTCTTGGCACCTAGTAAAATATTTAATAAAATGCAAGTATTCAGTGTTTTGATTCAGGGTTGAATAAGTTTAATATTAAAGCAGTTTTCTGTTAAGCAGTCTAAAAGTTTATCATAGCCAGATAACTACCTGTTAAGGCAAATTGCTATGTATGTCAGTTTACAAATGCTGATTTGTTTTAAAATATAACCTGTCATGCTGGCAAATTGACAATATACTCATTCAGACTTAAGTCTGTGTGTACACTTTTCTTCCTTTTTGAACCTTTTGAGATAAGGTCTTCCTATGATGCACATTCTGGTCTTAAACTCCTGAGCTCAAGTGATTCCTCTGCCATAAAAGTTTAACCTGAAAGTCTAGTGTGGTGGCATGTGCCTTTAATTCCAGAACATGTGGAGGCAGAGGCAAGGAGATCTCTGAGTTTGGGGCTTTCCTGGTTTGCATAGTGAGCTCCAGGCCAACAAGGATTACATAGTGATACCCTGTATGAGTGTTTTGTTTGAATGTATGTAAGTGCACCACATGCATGTAGTGTATACAGAGGCCAGGCCATAAGAAGGCCTTGTATCCCCTGGAAATAAAAGAGTTTATGGATGGTTGTTAGCTGCCATGTGGGTGCTGGGAACTGCACTGGGGTATTTGGCAAGAGTAGCCAGTGCTTGTAACCACTGAGCCATCTCTCCTGTCCCCACTGACCAGTTAGATTTAAATGTAATTTGGATTAAGTCATTCAGGTTATTAGCAGTGTTTTAAGTTGTATGGGAGTCTGTAGTTAGGGATACCATGTTGAACAGCATAGTTATTTACTATATAGCTATTGAAAGCTCTGTTGGACAATAGATAGACTGGGAAGTGACAAAATGAATACTGAATTGTAATGATCACTCTTAGAATAACTTCCTTCTCTGTAATTTGGTAGACCTACCCATGAATCATAAAATTCTTTGCTCTTCGCATGTTGCCTGCCACTGATGGAGTACTAAGAACTATACTCAGTGTACATGGTTTGCATTCCTTATCTTGTTTTTGTATATGGAGTTTTTTCAGGCAGGGACCATTTATTTTATTGTCGGAAAAATGGAGAGTGAAGGCTGGGAATGTAGTAGTCCTGGCTAGTTTGGACACAGTATATAGACCTGCTTCACTCCCCTGAATTCTGGCATTATAGGCATTAACCACTATACCCCACAAGAGTATTTTTTAAAGTAAGCAAATATCCCTGAGTCTCAGCTGGAAAATGGCCATGCTAGACTTGAACCTCAGTGTGTCAGACTCTGCTCCCGATTGCTAAGGCTTTACTCAGTCTTGGCAGCCCTGACAATGCTTCTCTTATGCTCTACCACAATCATACCAGTAACCACATTTGAACATGTATTATATTCCAGAAAATTTACATGATCTTCTTCTATCTGTACACGAATCCACAGAACCTTGGTTGATAGTTATTAATCTCATTTTGCAGATGCAGGAACTGGGGCTCTGAGCAAAGAGTTAAATGACTTGCCAAAGACATTAAAACCTGTGACTGAAAAAGGACCCAAATACATTGTCAGGCTACACTACACATTTTTTCATTCTCTTTTTTTAGATTGCTTAAAAATTTTGTCATTTTGTGGGCATATATGTGGAAGTCAGGACAACTTGGAGGAGTTGGTTCTCTTCCTTCCACCATATGGGTCCACTCAGGTCATTAGGCTTGACTAGGCACCTTTATGAGTGCGTTTGGGGAAGGGGCATGCCGTAGCACAGATGGCCATTAGAGAACACCTTTAGGAGTCCATTCTCTCTTTCCACCATTTGAGTTCCAGGGATGGAACCCAAGTTGTGGGGCTGGGTTGGGTAGCAAGCACTTTTACCTTCAGAGCTATCTCACTAACCCCCATTTTCTTTTTGTCATACCAAGTTACTCTTTTAACAATAGTTTAACTGGATTTTGTATGATTGAAAATGCTACCTTATTCCTTCTAGAACAACCAACTAATACCATCTAACAGGTAAACATGTTCCCTGAATATTAATTATTTATATTAATTCACTTGAATAGACTGAATAGTCTTGAGAAGGTGGGGGGTAAAAAAATAAAGTTGAAGCTGATTTTAGATTATAGATTTTCACTAAAATCGCCTTAACCAAAAAGTATCCAATTTTATAGTGTTTTACTTTTCCGTGTACCCAGTATAAGGTTGGTTCTTAAGATTTTTAAGTGTATTCATATTTTGGAAGTTTATGATACACTCTCCAAAGAGAGTTTTATTAGTTGTTTAAAACCTTTTTCTTTAGTGCTAAAGTCTTATTTGGAATGAATAATTATGTGTGGCTTTCTTTCTTTTAGGAGGCAGTTCCCCTGTTATACTCAGCAGATACTTACAGAGCATTGTAATGAAGTGTGGTTCTGTAAATTCTCTAATGATGGCACTAAACTAGCAACAGGATCAAAAGATACGACAGTTATCATATGGCAAGTTGACCCGGTATGTATTCCCATATGCATTCTTAGATTGCAAAAGAGGATAAGAATCTTGACCTATCGGTTGCCTATTTTTACTTATTTTGTTTGTTTTGAGACAAGATGTCACTACTTTGTAGCCCTGGCTAGCCTGGAACTTGCTATGTAGACCAGGCTAGCCTCAGAGATCCTTCTGCCTCTGCTTCCCAAGGACTGGGATTAAAGGCATACTGGCCCGGTTACCTATTTTTTTTAAAGGTACATATATAGCTGGGTATGGTGGCACATGGCTTTAATAAAGGCCAGCCTGATAGGCTAGCTGAGGCTATAGGAAGAAGACCCTGTCTCGGGGGGGGGGGGGTGGTAAGGTGTGAGTAGTAGTACTTTCTAGGAACATTTGTGGTCACCCGAATCTTTTTTTTTCTTTTTTTTTGAGACAGAATTTTGCTTAGTAGCCCCTGCTGGCCTAGAACCCAAGATTCTCCTGTCCTAGCCTTGCTGAATGCTGGGATTACAAAGATGTATCACTGTGCCTCACTCTGTTGATCACTTTTTTTTTTTTTTTTTTTTGGTCTTTTTTGAGACAGGGTCTCCTTGTAACCCCAGCTGTCCTGGAACTCACTATGTAGACCAGGCTGGCCTCGAACTCACAAAGATCCGCTTGCCTCTGCCTCCCAAGTGCTGGAATTAAAGGCCACCATGCCCAGCTTGGTCACTTTTTTAAAAAAAATATTTTTATTTTATGTTATGAGTGTATTGCCTGTATGTGTGTAAGTGTGCCCGTGTAGTGCAGTGCCCGAGGAAGTCAGAAGAAGGCATCAGATCTCTTGGAACTGGAGTTACAGATGGTTGTTAGCTGCCATGTGAGTGCTGGGAATTGAACCTGGGTCCTCTGCAATAGCAGCCAGTGCTCTTAACCACTGAGCCATCTCCCAGCCCCTGTTGATCACTTTTATTCTGCCTTTACCTCTTCCTGTGTTTCTATATAATGTATGAAGATTAATATCAGAGTTGTCATATACTAGAGATTGTGCTGTGTGCCTTATTTAATCCTTTGAATAACTTGAGGTGCTAAGATCTCTTAAATTCAGATGCAGAAACCAAGGTTAGACTGGAGTGCCTAGTCCTCACAGCATAGAAGTGACGGAATTTAACTCAGGGTACATTTGACTCCAGAACCAGTGCTGTTAACACTTCTGCCAGTTTGTGTCTTTGATCGTATTTGATTTCTAGACTAGGACATTGTCATTCTATTCTGCCCAAGTTAGAAAAGAGTCATCATTTGCTTTCTGACCCTTCATTATTTTATATATAATCTGTGGATCTCAGAAGTCTTCACTGGTTTTTCCCAGTGGTTGTACATGAAATTTATTCTATATGAATTTTTTTTTTTTTGGTCTTTTTGAGACAGGGTCTCCCTGTAGCCCCAGCTGGCCTGGATTCACTATGAAGACCAGATTGGTCTCAAACTCCCAGAGATCCACCTGCCTCTGCCTCCCAAGTGCTGGGATTAAAGGCGTGTGCCACCATGCCCAGCTCTATATGAATTTTAAGTGCAAAGTTCTCACTAAAATCAGAATTGTCTTTGTTTATAATCAGATGACCTGCCGATACATAGAAATAAGTGTATTTATTTCTTTGAGCCAGTTGAGCAGAAAAGTACATGATTCCAAATAGGCTAAGTATGCCACTTGTTTTAAGAGCCATTCGCCTAAAATCTAGATAAGCTTAGTTTAGAATTAAATAGTCAGTGTCCCTCTGGATTAAATTTTGAGTTCCCAAATTCTTTTTTTTTAAAATTTTTAAAAAGAGAGGGAACCTAGTGAGATAGCTTAGTGGTTAAGCTCACTGGCTGCTCTTGCAGAAGACTTGGGTTTGATTACCAGCACCCACATGGCAGCTAACAGCCAATCTGTAACTCCAGTTCCAGGGGTTCTGACACCTTCTTCTGTCCTCCACAGGCATTGTGCGACACGGGTGCACTAACAAACACATAGGCATAACGCTTATACATGTGGAATAATAATAAATCAAAAAAAAAATTTGGACTCCCACATTTATTTTGAGTAAAACAGCAGTAGACTACAAGGGGCCTCAGGAGCTGATGGGATGACTGACTCAGCGGGTGACGGCACTTGCCTTGCAAGCCTGGTGGACTGAACTCGATCCCAGGAACACCATGTAAAGGTGAAAGGAGAGAACTGACTCTACAGAGTTGTCTTCTGACATGTGGCCATGGCATATCCACACAATAAACATAATATCATGCACATGTACACAGTAATACTAAATTGATCGATTAAAAGGAGCCATAGAAGGAAAAAGAAAAATTAGAGACAGCAATTCTTGAGTCTCTGCAATATGTTATAATTGGTTAAAGGGAAATATGATACTCTGCTCTAAAGCAAGAGTTCTTTGCTTTTTTTTTTTTTTTTTTTTTTTGGTACCACAGTATCTCTTTTGACAGTTGAGCAAACTTAAGAATCCTCTTAAAATAATATTGTTGACTATACAAACCAAACCACATAGTAAGCCCAAATATATATTACATAGTAATCACTTAGGAAATTCAGTTATATTGAAATACAGGTACCAGCCTAGGAAGGAAAGCTACAACAGATTTATTTATTTGGTTATGTATTTATTTACTTTGTTTTTGTTTTTTGAGACAGGGTCTCCCTGTCTCACCTAGCCTGGAACTCACTGTGAAACCAGGCTTGCCTCAGTCCCACAGAGATCCACCTACCTCTGCCTCCTGGGTGCTGGGACTAAAGGCATGGCACCACCACACCCAACTCTGTACTGCTTTATTAACATTAAGTAATCCTGGCAGCAGATAATAACTACCACAATTTTGAATTGATAAACATAAATAATACTGTATGATAGCCGTAGCAATTATAATATGAACTGAAAATACTTGAGATTTCTCTATGAAGTCATAATACTGAATTTTCTGTGATGCCTCATGTACTACCTAATACCTCTACTACCTGACATAGTCTACTCATATGCCAAATGCTACTTTGTTGATTGTTTACATTCAAGATTGAAGGAAATACGAATTTCAGGCTGTGGTTAATTAGAAGTGTGCCCTTTGCCCATTTATGTTCAAAGACCCCGATTCTGTCCATGAATCCTTTCTTACAGGTGTCAGATTAAGAGCTCCATCCAGGGACTGTACAGTTTAAGAAGAGCAATAAAATGCAATTAAATAAGCATCATGCTGTATCAGTATGAAACATTATGAAGGCATAAAGGAGCTGATGGGTGGGAGCACTTCATTAGAGCTTTACTCTGTACCACACAGGTAGTGATAGGAAAAGGACATTTTAGGAGGAGGAGGAAGAGTATCTCTCACCCTCTGCTTCTCTAAAGTAGAAGAAAAGGGTTAGTAATGGCAAGAAGTAGAAACAGACTAAAGAGAGAAGTTTGGGATTAACTCATGGCCTTTGAATTCTGTTTCCTAAAGGGTTCTGTTTTTCAGTTATTTGTAAAGTATCTGAAAATGGTGACAAAAATACCAAAATTATACTTTATTAATTTTGTTTTTCTAGCTGATCTATGTAAGATTCTCCCCTTCATTAAGCCCCAGTATAAAGTGCCTTGTTATATGCTAGGTCTTTTACTACAGGTAATAAACCCTGACTGTTCCATAATGGGTGCCGTTAAACCTTAGAGAAGATCCTACCAGAACTAGACAGCTAAGAAAAGTAGATCTTTGGTGACGGATTTAAAAACTATTTAGGAATGGCTTTTGGGTAAAAAAAAAAATGTGGTTTGGCTTTTGGGTGGATTGGGACAAGAGTTTTTGGAAGACTAGGCATTGGGCTTAAGCAAATCTTTGTATATTTTGCTAAGTAGTTGCAACTTTTTTTAAAGATTTTTATGTGGGTGAATGGTTTGCCTGAATGTATGTAAATATACCACGTGGGTGCAGTCCCCATTCATGGCAGCCAGAGGAGGGCGTTGAATCTGCCCATGTGGGTCCTGGAAACCAAACCCTGAACCTCTGTAAGAGCAGCAAGTGCTCTTAACCTCTGAACTCTCTAGGAGGTTCTCAAAATACTGGGTATGCAGAATGTAATGGGTATTAATTATAAAGGACTTTTGGGGGCTGGAGAGATGGCTCAGTGGTTAAGAACAGTGGTGGTTCTTGCAGAAGACGCAGGTTCAAATCCCAGCACCCACATGGCAGCTAACAACTGTCTGAAATTCCAGTTCCAGGGGATCCAGCAGCCTCTTCAGTCCTCCGTGGGCATTGCACAACACAGGTGCACTTACTTACACACAGGCAATACATGTATACACAAAAAATAAAAATAATAAATAAAATTTTTTAAAAATAAAGGGCTTTTGTTGGCCATATTAACTTAGGAAGGGCAGAATTAATGCTTACATTCCAATCTAAAATATGGAAGGTTTTATACATGGTAATTTTTAGATAGCTGTACTATATAAAAAGTCCTTGGATGGGTTAACTCTTGGTTAAGAGTTATGGTGGTACTTAATGTTATGCCAAATTCTGTTTAGAAAAGCTAACTTTATGTATCTTTGTGTATTGAATTTTTGTTGTTAGGATTGTGGAGACATGGCAAGGAATTAATGATCCTTCTTCTGCCTCCCAAGTATTGAGATTATAGGCACAGGCCATTATGGCAGACCTCCTTTGATGTGTATTTTAATAACTTTTAAAATATTTATTTTTTTCTGCATATGAGCATATTACCTGCATGTGTGTAAGTGCACCCATGTCATGCAGTGCCTGTGGAGGTGAAGAGAGTGTTGGATCCCCTGGACCTGGAGTTACAGGCTGTTGTTAGTGCTATGTGGGTACTGGGAATCAAACCTGGGTCCTCTGCAAAAACAACTAGTGTTACTAACTTATGAGCCATCTCTCCAGCCCCTGATGTATATTTTCTTAATGGGTAGAAAAAAGAATTTTAGTATTCAGCTGATGTGATCCACCGCCTAGGTTCCTTTAAGAACCTAGTCCAAAAAAATTGTATTTTCTTTATTCCCCTAAAATTCTGAGCAAATCATGCAGACTTCATTTGAATTGATAGTATAAAGGCACTGTACTTAAAAAGATTTGATGTTAATTCCGCTGTTTATTTTCATCATAGGATCATTTATTCATTGAGGTGTGTAAAACAAGTGATTTCTTCCTTTCCTTTTGTCTTCTCTCCCCTGTCCCCTCTCACTTTTCCTTCCCTCTCTCCTGAGATTTTGATGTTTTTTATATTTGTTTTGAGACAATAGTCTTACTATACTATACTAACTACACTACACCACACTACACTACACTATACTATACACCCCTGGCTGTTCCAGAACTCAGAGATCCTCCTGCATGTGCCTCCTGAATGCTGGGATTAAAGGCCTGTGCCACCACATCTGCCTTTTTTTTTTTTTTTTTTAATTATTTTATGTGTATGAGTTTTACCTACATGTATAGAAGTGTACCTTGTGCAAATACTGCCACAGAGGCCAAAAGAGGGTGTTGGAACCCCTGGAACTAGAGTTATAGATAGTTGTTAGCTGCCATGTGGGTGTTGGGAATCTACCCTGGTTTCCTGCAAGGGCAGCCAGTGCTCTTACCCACTGAACCATCTCTCTAGCCCCTCTCCTGTGTTTTCTGTTTGTTTTTAAGATTTTTTTTTTTTTTTTTTTTTTTTTTTTTTTTTTTTAAGCCCAGCCTAGCTTCGAACTTTTGATCTTCCTGCCTCTACCCTGAGTGCCTGAAATTACAGGCATGGGCATCTATACATGGCCAAAGCAATTAGTTTTCCAGACAGTTTGATATGTGTGTGTCCGAGTGTGGGTATGTGCATTTGAATGCAGATGCACATAGCAGATCTGAGCTGGAGTTACAGGCATTTGTGGGTCCTGGGAACTGAACTCAGGTCTTCTGGAAGGGGAAGCAAGTGCTCTTAACCACTTAACTCTCCAGCCCCAAGCCAAATATTTCTGAAGGAATTTCTCACTTGTATTTCTTGGACAAGGAGATGCCAACATAATTTTATCAGACTAGTTTCAGACCTATTTCTGACTGCTTATAGGTTATCACTACTGCATTGTTCCTACCCCAGGCTTCAAATTAGGCTCTAGGGGCTGCAAAGATGGTTCAGCCATTAAGAGCACATTGTCCTCTTTCATAGGACCTGAATTTGGTTCCCAGCTCCCGTGTCCTCAGGCTTACAACCACCTGCGACTGAGTTGCAGAGGATCCTGTGCCCTTTTCTTGCCTCTGCTTACACCTGCACACATACACATGACACTCGCACAGACACATAAATAAAAATAAATCTTTAAATTTTTAACTGTGTGTATGTATGTGCGCATGCATGTGCACACATCTTTGTATGGGTATGTGCACATGAGTGCAGGTGCCCTCAGAGATCAGAGATATCAGATCCTTTTCGATCTGAAGTATAGCCAGGTGTGAGCTGCCCAACATGGGCGCTGGGAACTGAACCTGATTCTTCAAGAGCAGTACACACTTTTCAGCTGAGCTGAACCTTCTCTCCAACTCAAATAGTGAATGTGGTGTCACATTTCTTTAATCCCATTACTCCAGAGGCAAGTTCAAGGCCTATGTAGCATGTTCTAGGTCAGCCAGTGCTATATACGCCCTGTCTCCAAAAACAGCAAAACCTAATTTTTTTTTAATTAGGCTTCTAGTCCTATGCCTAAAATGTATTGTTAGATTTTTACTTCCTCTGGTCCCTGTGCACATCCGCTAAATCAGAAATACAGACTCTCCCAAGCACTGGGGATTGAACCTAGGACTTCACTCATGCTAGCTGGAAATTTTTTAAAAACTTTTTCAGATTCTTGTTTTTAATCTGCACGGTGTCTTCATCTCATCTCTTTGTAGTTCTGGCCATCGTGATCCGGGGCCGTGTTCCTTGGAGGCTGACTGTTGGCTTGGCTCCTCATGGGTTTCCTGTGTCTCTTCCTTCTGATTTGTCTTAACATTATCTCCGTACTCCCTAAAGCCACATACCTTATTAGACATTCCCTAGCTCGACTTATTTTAAAGTGACTTTTCCCCCTAGATGAAATCAGATTCCTGTTCTGAAGTAAACCTGTCACTTGCCACGTACACATTTGCACTATACAGTTCATACTACAAAGTGCAGGCCTCAGGGTCAGGCAACCCAGGTGTCAAATCCTCCTCACTATTGTAAACAGAAACAATCAGATTTCTGATCTTTCTACAACTTCATTTCCTTCCCTGGAATATACTGTTGTTAATAATATTGTATTCCTATCACATCATTAATAACAAAGACCTCTGAGGATCAGGTTAGATGTTTATGAGTGGTGCCAATGTTGATTTATTGGCAAGAATGTAATAGGATGCAGTTGCTCAGAAAAGTTTGGCAGTTCTTCAAAATGTTAGAGTTAGCAAATGACCTAGGAATTCTACTGTTGTATACTATCCTAAAGAGAAATAAAAGCATGCCCACAGAAAAGCTCATGTATATTCAAATAGCCACATTATTCATAATATTGGAAAAGTAAAATCCAAATAGTGAAACATTTGTAAAATGGACTATTACTCCACAATAAAATAACACCCCCTATAGCATTACATTGGGGTAAATGAAAGAAGCCAATTACAAGAGACTCTGTCATGTATAATTCTATTTATATAAAATGTCCAGAATAGACAAACCCATAAAAAGAAAGTAATGGTTTTTAGGCACTGCAGAGATGGACATGAATGATAACTGGTACAGGATTTCTTTGGGGAATGATGAAAATGTTATCAAATTAGATAGTTGAGGTGGCTGCACAACACTCTGCATATACTAAAACCATTGACCTGTGTACCCTAAAAGGACAAATTTTAGCTAAGTTACATCTCATTCAAGCTATGAAAAGGTTTTTAAAGTTAATTTATGTGTATGAGTATATTGTCTGGATGTATTTAAGTGCACCTGTGTTGTACAATGCCTGTGGAGGTCAGAAGAGGGCATCAGATCCCCTGAACTGGAGCTATGGATGGTTGTTAACTCCCCTGTAGGTGCTGGGATTTAAACCTGGATCCTCTGTAAGAGTAACCAGTGCTCTTAACTGCTGAGGCATCTTTTCCAGCCCCTCAAAAGATTTTTTTTTTTTAATAGCTTTTATGTCCATCTATTCTCAGTTCCCTTCGAAGTTTTCTAAGGACAATTCTGTGGCATCTTCATGTCTCTGGAGTATACCATGTCTTTTGTATAGTAGACTTTTTTTTAGATGTGAACAAATCTCTGAAAAAAGCTGATTAAGCTTCAGCTGAATTGGTATGAAAACTTCCCAGACTAAATGATAATAGCAAAGCACATCTTTATACTTAAATTCTTGTTCTAGAAAATAGTAACTTTTAGGACAGGAGTTAACGAAGTTGTCTCTTTTCTTCTAGGACACACATCTGCTAAAACTGCTTAAAACATTAGAAGGACATGCATATGGTGTTTCTTATATTGCATGGAGTCCAGATGACAACTATCTTGTTGCTTGTGGCCCAGATGACTGCTCTGAGCTTTGGCTTTGGAATGTACAAGTGAGCGAGTTCCGTCCTTGGTCTATTTAGGTTTAAGTGTAGGGTACTCATAACACGTTTATTTTTTAGAACTGTTTTTTTTTTAATTTATACAATAGAGCCATTCAACTTAAATCACCTTAGTATTTCTCTGATAAGTGATAGTCTTCACATAGAACCCAGGGTCTGGGTTTGTAATTTTAAACATATGTTGAATAATGATTTCTGAAAGACTGGTTGGGATCAGTAAGCATTTCCAGCATGTTTTGCTTTGTTCTGTGGAATTTATACTATTGTAGTGCCTCATAAATGATTTTAGAGTTATATTGTTATCATCATTGTACATGAAACTTAACCTTTCAAGTGTAAAATAATCAGTGTTAAGTAAAATTTCACATTCTGATGATGAATGTATCATCACCTCAACCCACATTTACTATTTTGAGCTACTTAGTATAAGTAAATGTCCTAAGCACTTTTATTAGGGGTATTTTTACTGTTTCTAACTGAAAACTTGAACTTTAGAAAAGTTCAATATTAGGTTCCCTCCATTATTTACATGTTTTTAGAGCCTCTGTTTTAAACCTTAAATTCTCAGCAGAGGATATGATCGATCATCTATGCTTTGAGTATAAAAGTAAAACTTAAAGCCTGGTGTGGAAGCACACACTTTTAAAATTCTAGTACTTTGGAATTTTAAGACCCCATCTCAAAAAGACCAAAAAAAAGTAAAACTTGGTAGGATGGGGTAAAAGTTCCAGGTAATGTTGATACAAAAGTAACAATAAAACACACAGATGACTCAAGTAGTAACAGGGAGGACAAGCACAACAAAATGAATGTTAAGATGTAACTGCAAGTGAAACTCAGAACTTCATAATGTTATTGTAGTAAGATTTCCATACTGCTCATTCATTTCCCCTTTATTTTTGTTTTGGTTTGGTTTTTGGTTTTTCTTTGTAGCCCCAGCTGTTCTGAACTCACTGGCCTTGAACTCACAGATCTACCCACTTCTGCCTCTCAAGTGCTGGGACTAAAGTCATGTGCCACCACTCCCAGGTCATTTCCTTTTTTAAAAAAAATTATATGTGTATGAGTGTATTGCTGCATGTATGTAAGTGCACCCCTGTCATACAGTGCCCATTGGATCCCCTGGAACTGTGTTGTTAGCCACTGTGCTAGGAACCAAACCCTGGTCTTCTGCAAGAAGAGCCAGAGCTGTTAACTGCAGAGCCATCTCTCCAGCCCCCTTACTTCCTTTTTCTTAACCTCAGCTTTTTATTGAGAATTTTCAAACATTTAAAAAAAAAAAATTTAATAGCACATCACTTTTCTTGATAGTTTAAAATTATAAAACAATTCCATAAAAACAAAAAAGACAATTCCAAGAAGTCATGGAGCATGAAACTGTAGCAGTTAAGTCATCTCTTTGTTAATGTGTTATATAAAAAATAACGTATATAAGAACTAAATATTCCCTTAAGCTACAGTACACCTGCAGGACTGAAAAGTGAATAAAAATAATTACAGATGGGTATGATTTTTGTATGCCTGTAGTCCCAGTACTCAACAGACTAAGGCAGTAGGATCTCAAGTTCAAGTCTGCCATGGTGACATAGTGAGAGCCTTTCACCAGTAATCAGAAAACTAAGAGTATTCCATCTTTAAAACTCTATACCGTTTTCCACCTTTTCCTAAAAAAAAAGAAAAGTTTAAAATAGAGTGTTTGGGGAATAACTTCTTTATTACTAGGGGAAGTTTGCTGTTTAAAGACAGAAGAGTAAAACAGAGTTCCTTCAGAGAGCCTCTTTTCTAGTTTTTCATTCAGTTTTTCTTGGTTACTCTTACTCTGCCTAAGAGTAAAAATAAATTCATTTTTTTGAGGGGCCAGAAAGATGACTTAGCAGTTAAGTTAGTTCTCAGCACCTAGGCAGCTCACAGCTACCTGTGACTCCAGCTCCAAGGAATCCAACATCCTCTTCTGGCCTCTTTGAATATCTTTATTCACATGCACACACACACATATACATATTATTAAAAATAAAATCTTAATAAGCCAGGCGTCATGGCTCACACCTTTAATCCCAGCACTTAGGAGGCAGAGGCAGGCTGATTTCTGTGACTTTGAGGCCAGACTGGTCTACATAGCAAGTTCCAGGCCAGCTGAGGCTACAGGGAGACCCTGTCTCAAAGACCAAAAAACAAAAGATCTTAATAACAAACAAAGTAGAACCAGATACAGTGATTCATATTTGTAATCCATTCAGCCCTTGGGAAGCTGAGGCATCAAGATTACTGTGAGATTGAGGAGAGTCCCCACCTGAACTACATAGTGAGTAGCCAGCCTGGGCAGTAGAGTGAGACCTTGTCTCAAACAAAGCAAAACAGAAAAATTAAAAAAATAATATAGCCATAATAGCTGCAAGTGATACTGCATACCTGTAGTCCTGTTACTTGGGAAGTGGAGGCAGGAGTTCAGAGTCATCCTCAGTTACCGAGGAAGTTGGAGAACAGCCTGCTTTTAAAAAAAGAGGCAGGCGGGAGAGATGACTCAGCGGTTAAGAACACTGGCTGTTCTTGGAGAAGACCCAGGTTCTAATCCCAGCACCCACCTGGCAGCCAACAGTTGTCCATAACTCCAGTTCCAGGGGATCTGACAGCCTCTTCTGTCCTCCTCAGGCATTGCATGACACAGGTGTACTTACCTACATGCAGGCATAGTATAATGATGACTTGTGTGCTCACTACCCTAGATCTGAGCATTTTTACTAATATGTGTGATATTTGGGACTGGAGAGATGGCTTAACTGTTAAGAGCACTTGCTGTTCTTTCAGAGGACCTAAGTTAGTTCTAAGCACCCATGTCAGGAGACCACAATTGCCTATAACTCTAGGTCTAGAGGATCTGATACACATAAATATATATGCATATATACGTACATATCCAGGTCCAAAATACTTGAAAGATTTTTCTGTTTTTGGTCTTTTTTTTTTTTTTTTTTTTTTTGAGACAGGTTCTCCCTATAGCCCCAGCTGGCCTGGAACTCACTAAGTAGACCAGGCTGACCTTGAACTCAATGAGATCCTCCTGCCTCTGCCTCCTGAGTGCTGGAATTAAAGGTATATGCCACCACACCCAGCAATTACAAATGTTTTATCCCTAAATATTCAATACCTATCTTCTCAAAAATAACATTCTCCTACATAGCATTATTGTATCTGAGGACATTATTTTCTAACCAAAACCCCAGGTGTCTTTTGATGATATTTGTATCAAGCTAGCAATTAACCACTGTTGTGTTGGTGACCAGGTTCAAAGAGATGGCAAAGCACCAAAGAAAATACATAACTTTATAATAAAACAAAGATTAAGGTGAATCTGACTTTAAAAGACAGATTATTGTTAAAGCTTCTTTTTCTTCTTCAATGGAAGGTGTTTACCACCTTAACAGGGATTTGGTGACATTAAACCACATTTACATAACTTACTGTCATCACTTAATTGGCCTTGACTTGTTCTAAAAGAATGGTCTTTTAGTCAGTTTTCAAACTATTCCTTTGTGTTTTTAGATAGGTTTCTAATCCAATGGCCTCATACACTTACTGTCCTGAGCATAATGGAAGGAATAGACATTTCTCCCCTCAGATCTTACTATGTTAACATGTGACTAGAAAACACCCAAGATTTAGCTGTTACTTGTATTTGTATTTATCTAAACTTTTTTTTTTATCTTTTATTTTTTGTCATTTTGAGACAGGGTCTCCCTGTAACACCAGCTGGCCTGGAACTCACTGTGTAGACCAGGCTGGCCTTGAACAGATAGCCACCTGTCTCTGCCTCCTGAGTGCTGGGATTAAAGTCATGTGCCACCATGCCTAGCATTTAGAACCTTTTAACAGTTTACAAGGTCCAGAAACCAAAAAGATCATTAAATTGGGTGAGAAGAGTGACTAATTTGGGGGAAAGTTTATGCTGAATTGTTTAATTTTTGTTTCTGTCATGTAAGGAAAACATCTGGTTATCTGTTTTGTGCCTCTTGTGCCTTAATTACTTGGCCCCAGTTCCTAATCATACCCTTTGTTTTCACTCTTTTATTTTTACTTTTGCTTAACCCATTTCTCAGGAAAATTATGCCCATGTACTTTTTATTATACCAAGGGCACCTATTATCTCTCAGATCCTGTTTCTAATCCCAGAACAAAATGGAACCAAGACTAGATTAAATGGTATGTGTGAAGTCTTAGTTGAATAACTTAGAAAATGTAACTAGAGGCTATCTAGTTATCTATAACCAGTAAGTACACTGGCTTAGTTGGAAACACTGTGAAGTGGCTGTGCTAAACAGCACAGAGCTCTTCTTTCTTTGTACTGCTTTATTTTATTTTGGTCATTTTGAGACAGGGCCTCCCTGTAGCCCCAGCTGGCATGGAATTCACAGAGCTCCACCTGTTTCTGCCCCTGGAGTGCTGGAAGTAAAGGTGTGCACCACCATGCCCATCTACTCTTTGTACTGTTTTTAATTGAAATAAGGTTACATATAGAGAAAAGTAATCCTTTCTCTTTTCCCAGCTTCCCAGCCATATTGTGAACATTTGAACATTGAAATTTAGAATAATTAAATCACCCTTTGCATATTTTAAGGGCATAGTTTTAGTACCTATTAATCATATTCTTAAAGAATTGCTAATTGCATTCACTGTAGTTTTAGGATAAAATTTATACAGAATTTTGGACTGGGATGGACGCTCAGAAGGATTAGGTATGTAGCTTTGGGATTTTTATTTTCTTGATGAGAATTACATGCTAGCTTTAGTTTATGACTAATTCTTTAAGATGAAAATTTATTGAAGTTTATCATATCTATTGAATTTTTCCTTCTGAGTGCTGTCGTCCCTTTTTATTGGGAAAGGCCAGTTTAAACAATTCATTTCACTGAAAAGGGGAATACATACTAACTAGATATTCCAGCTACCTACTTACCTACCTATCTGCTTTGCTGTCTTTTCTCCTCCCCCTCCTCCTTCTCCTTTCTCCTCCCTTTTCTTCCTGTCTTCCTTCTGTTTGCATCCCTATTCTTTTCCTTTTTTTTTTTTTAAACATACTCCCCTTAGAGAGGAATCTGGAATGTCTTACCTATGGTTTTATTTCCTTATAGACGGGAGAATTAAGAACAAAAATGAGTCAGTCTCATGAAGACAGTTTGACTAGTGTGGCATGGAATCCAGATGGGAAACGCTTTGTGACTGGAGGTCAGCGTGGGCAGTTCTATCAGTGTGTGAGTATTGGGTGCTTCTTAACAGTGACTACTTATTTTAAGGGCTGGGGAGATGGCTCATTGGGAAAAGATGCCAAGTCTGACAGCAAGAGTTCTGTCCCTGGAATCCACATGGTAGAAGGATAAAACCAACTCTTCCAAATTGTCCTCACTTCTGTACGGGCCCACACATACACATATTAGTAAATAGATGAAAAAATAAAATAACTTTAGTTTTTAAAAATAAAGATTCCTTTAAAAAATACTATATCATAAGCCAGGCATGTTGTTGTACCCCTTTAACCCCAGCACTCAGGAGGCAGAGGCAGGTGGATCTCTGTGAGTTCAAGGCCAGCCTGGTCTACATAGTGAGTTCCAGGCTAGCTGCAAATACAGAGCGCCCTGTCTCAATGAAAAAAAAAAAAAAGGGGGGGTGTATTTATGTGTATGCGTATATTGGCCGTGTGTGGGTAAGTGCATCTGTGTCATGCAGTGCCCACGGAGGACAGAAGAGGCTGTTGGATCCCATGGAACTGGAGTTACAAAGAGTTACTAGCTACGATGTGGGTGCTGGGATTCGAACCCGGGTCTTCTGCAAGAACAACCAGTGTTCTTTACTGCTGAGCCATCTCCAGCCCCCAGAAACTTGGTTCTTATATACAAGTTTTATAGGAATGACAGATACAGCATTTAATTTTGGGGGGAGTTTAGCTTTTATAAGAAAAACATTGCTACCCAGGTACAGTGACTTGTACTTTTAATCCCTGTGCTTAGGAAGCTGAAGCAAGAGGATTGCCAAGAGTTTAAGACTAGCGTGGGCTGTATATAGTAAGTTGGATGCTAACCTGCACTACAGAGATGAGACCCTGTCTCAAGAAGCAGACAAAAAATGTTGTGGGGCTAGGGATATAGCTTAGTTGGTAGACTGCCTAGTATATCCATAATACCTTGGGTTTGATCCCTAGCACCTTGTAAAACTGGGCAAGGTAGCACCACCTATAGTTCTAGCAATGGGAGATGGAGGCAGTGTGATCTATAATTTGAAGTCAGCCTTAGCTTACATACACAACCAGCCTGAGATACATGAGACCCTGTCTGAAAAAACAGGAACCACAACAACAAAAATTGAGTGCTGAATTTCATGTATAATTTGTGAGTAGAAATATTTGAGGAATGAAAGTGATGCATGCTGGGGTTGGAGAGATGGCTCAGCGGTTAAGAGAATATACTGCTTTTCCAGAGGACCCAACTTCAGTTCCCAGCATACACATTAGGCAGCTTACAACCTGCTAACTTTAGCTTCAGAGGCTCTGATGCCCCCTTCCAAATGTCCTTACTAGTCTAGGTTCCGTATGTCTTATCACTGCCTCACATAGTTCTCAGAGGTGCTTTCCAATTTATTTAGTTTAATTTTTTTCCATCATTGCATCACTTTGAATAGATCTCTATTCAAATAAGCCATCTGTGCTTGACCTTTATGGAATAAAACAGATTTTAATAGTTTATGCAGCACGCTTCTTTTCTTCTCGGTAGGTCACTTAATATACTGCAAATGCAGCTTGCTAGCAGTAACAAGTATATCACCCTAAATAAACCATTGTTAGGTCACCACTTAATACTAAGATGACTTGAAACTCATGGAATTCATTGCTGTATTACCTCTAGCTATGAGTCATTCTTTTTTATTTTAATTTTTTAATTTTTATTATTTTTATTTTATGTGTATGTGTGTATTGCCTGCATGTAGGTAAGTGCACCTGTGTCATGCAGTGCTCGCGGTGGTCAGAAGAGGCTGTCGGATCCCCTGGGACTGGAGTTACAGACAGTTGTTAGCTGCCATGTGGGTGCTGGGATTCGAACCCAGGTCTTATGCAAGAACAACCAGTGTTCTTAATCGCTGAGCCATCTCTCCAGCCCCCCAGCTCATTAATTCTTAATTCTTTTTTTCATATCATGATTTTGCATGTTACAGCACAGACCCGGTACAGACCTCTATTCAAATTCTCATGGTTAAAATACTTCTAGAGTAGTTTGGCCGAGATCATTCTTGAGGGAGGAAATGCTTTTTCCATAAGACATTGCAGGAATTTCTTGCAGGTCTATGCTTTCTGAATTGTTTGTTTGTTTCGTTTTTTGCTCAGGACCTGGATGGAAATCTCTTGGACTCCTGGGAGGGGGTGAGAGTGCAGTGCCTATGGTGCTTGAGTGATGGGAAGACTGTGCTGGCTTCTGACACACACCAGCGAATTCGGGGTTACAACTTTGAGGACCTTACAGACAGGAACATGTAACTATTTTTTTTTTTTTTATTTCCATTAAAAAATGGTCTGATATGTATACCAAATGTGTATATAGCAGGGCTTTTTCAGAAAAGCAATTTTTTGTTTGTTTGGCTTTGATTGGTAATTTGGATTGATGATTAAGTGTTACTTAATCACTGACTCATTCTTTTTAATTGACATATAGTATATAAGGTACAGTTACCATATTTGAGGTCCATTTCATAGTTGAATAATTTGAAATTCTTGACTCTTGTTGCTTCTGACATATTATTTCTGATTACAGAGTACAAGAAGATCATCCTATTATGTCTTTTACTATTTCAAAAAATGGCCGATTAGCTTTGTTAAATGTAGCAACTCAGGTATGTTTATTGCAAATTTCAGAAAAAAATTAGCTTAGTAAAAAATTTAATTTTGTTTTTAGTATATGTGTTAGATATTTCTGGGTTTTTTTTGTTTTTGTTTTTGTTTTTTTGTCTTTTTGAGACAGGGTCTCCCTGTAGCCCCAGCTGTCCTGGAACTCACTATGTAGACCAGGCTGGCCTTGAACTCACAGAGATCCGCCTGCCTCTGCCTCCCAAGTGCTGGGACCAAGTGCTGGGATTAAAGGCATGCGCCCGGCTTTATTTTTAAATTTTTTATTGCATGCATTTGAAGGATAAATGTGTATAATCATAAATTTATTGAAATTCTGATTTTACACAAATAAAAAATGAAAATGGGGGCTGGAGAGATGATTCAGTGGTTAAGAGTATGTACTGCTCTTCCAGGGGACCTGAGTTTGATTCCTAGCACCCACGGAAGCTCACAGCAGACTGGAACTCCAGCACTGCACTCTCGTGCACAAACCCACACACAGACACACATATACACCTAATTTAAAAAATATTTTTTAGAAAAAGAAAATAAATGTTCTACCCAGCAAAGGGATATTCACAGATTATTTTTCAAAATTATATTGATACTGTGCTGGTGGTGCATGCCTTTAATTCTTGCAGTTGGGAGGCAGAGGCATATGAATTTCTGAACTCAAGACCAGCCTGGGGCTATGTAGTGAGAACCTGTTTGCAAAAAAAATTCTGTTCAGCTGGGCGTTTAAGTACATGCCTGTACTTCAAGCAGTTGGGAGGGAGGCTCTGTGAGGTCCAGGCCAGATTGGAGTATCCAGTAAGACTTTTGGAAAAAAAACTCTATTCTCTTTTGCCCACAGGGAGTTCATTTATGGGACTTGCAAGACAGAGTTTTAGTAAGAAAGTATCAAGGTGTTACACAAGGGTTTTATACAATTCATTCATGTTTTGGAGGCCATAATGAAGATTTCATCGCAAGTGGCAGTGAAGGTAAAGTGTTCCTGTCACTATTGGTTCCCATAGATGAGTTTAAAGTTCTATAATTCTCTTTCAATTTATCAAAGTAGCCATTTCTAAGTGAATTTAAGACATACTACATTTATTTTCTAATGTGTGTTAGTGTTTTGCCAATATGTATGTATATATAATGCCCACACAAGCCAAAAGAGGGCATTGGATCCCCTGGAACTGGAGTTAGTTGTTAGCTGCTGCTTGAGTGCTGGGAACTGAATGAGGCTCCTCTGCAAGGGCAGCCCATGCTCTTAACTGCTGATCCATCTCTCCAGCCATATATTAATTAATTTTGCGATGGGCTTATCCAGTAAATTGTTAATTTTCCTTTTTGTTTGTTTTCCTTTTGTGGTCCATGTGGAACCCAGGACCTTCCACATGCTAGACAGTTCCCCTTACCAACCTGTGGTCCTGTTGTTATCATTTTCGAAGTGTTTGTTGTATGAATCAAACCAGAATTTAGTTAAAGGATTAAAGAATTTAAAGGGTTTTTTTTTCATGGCAGTGATAATTTTTAAAAGTTGGTAATATCTAAAAAGTTAATTATGAGTTTTCCCATGTTTCAAGGGAATCATTTCTTTAGTAACTATGAGAAAAGTTTAGTTTGATCATTCTTATGGTTTCAGTAAAGCTGAATAAACACAACTGTCTCTTTAACTGAACATGGTCTCCAGGTTAAAAGCATCTATATTCTAAGCAGGCACGTGCCTATGCAGTCTAATTTAAAATCTGAAATGTTTAAACAATATATACACAGATAGGTAAGGTAGTGTTAAAATTTACTACACTTTTTAAGGTGATTGAAATATAATTATTCCTGGCAGATTATGAAAGCTATTCAAGGTATTTTTCTGTAGTGCCCACACTACTGTTCTTCCAGCTGCTGTAGCAGTTAGATTATTTAAATCACTTTGAAATAGAAATAATTTTATAAGATAGAGCAAAGTAATAGATTATGTTAGCAAAAACTTTAGTTGCTGGGCATGGTGGCACATGCCTTCAATCCCTACAGTCAAGAGACAAAGGCAGGTAAATCTCTGTGATTTCCGCACATAGTCTGACCCTGTTCCCCTCCCCAAAACCCCAACAAAATTAAAAACAAAATGAAAAACCTTTAGGTTCTGTTTCATTTGTATGGTGTTAATCATCCCAATTTGACAACAAAGGAAAAAAAAGGGATCATTAAATGGCACATGAGTGTTTTCTTTTTTAATAATAAGATATATTTAAGAACAGGGACCTAGAGACATTTAGTAACTTAGATTTTTAACATCAAGCTTAGGGATTTATTTCCTTCCTTCACAGACAAGATTGGGAAAAGAGTGGTGTTTTGGGTAACAGTTGTGAATAAATTCACTTCTTTGTTAAATTGGATTCTTGGGTGTTTTATCAGGCTGTTTTCCTCCATGTTCATTGGTTTCTAATTGACCTAACTACATTACCCTTTGACCTTTTAGTTCCTTCCTATTCTAAGACCTCCTCCTAGTCCTGCTGCTGCTACTGCTTTTTCTTCCCTTTCCTTTTTTTCCTCTTTTGAGGCAGGGTTTTACTTTGTAGCCCTTGCTGGCCTAGAACTTGTCAGGTAGACCAGGGTTGCAGAGATCCACCTGCCTAACGTCCTGGGCTAACAGCATGTGCTCTGTGCCCAGCCAGTCCTGCTTTTTTAAAGGTTTCCCCCCAGCCCTTAATTATTATGCCTTATATTTCTCTATAACTCTGCCTAAAAATAGGTACCTTACAGGTACTTAAAAATATAAATGGCGGGGCTGAGAGATGGCTCAGCGGTTAAGAACACTCGTTCTTGCAGAAGACCCAGGTTCAAATCCCAGCACCCACATGGGAGCTAACAACTTCCCAAAACTCCAGTTCCAGGGGATCCGACAGCTTCTTCTGTCCTCCGAGGGCATTACACATCATGGGTGCACTTATCTACATGCAGGCAATACACTCATACACATAAAAAATAAAATATTTTTTATATATCTATATTGCAAGCTAGGTGTGGTGGTACATGCCTTTAGTCCCAGCATCAGGAGGCCAGAGGCAGGTGAATCTCTGTGAGTTCAAGGCCAGTTTGGTCTACGTAGTGAGTTTCAGGCCATTTGGGGCTATAGGGAGACCATGTCTCAAAAAGACCCTATATATATATGGCTACCATTGCCCCATGTGATAACAATTTTAAGCCCAAACTAAAAAGCAAACCTGATAAATGATTAAGTTAAACACATTATTATGTGTATGACTAAATAATGGTTTCAGTTTCTCCTCCCACTATATGAGTATTTCAGTTGGCATTCACACTTTTCAAACTTACGTTCTTTCTGGCATGAAACAAAACTAGTGTGCCCTTCTAATTTTCTTTGAATTTCAGTTTACATAGATTGTTTTCCACAATAAAGCATTCAGTTCTTTAATTACTTTTGCTTCATATAAACACCTACCAAAAAGATGTGGAAGAAACCAGGGTACATTCTCTTAAAGTTTTCTGTCTTGGCAGCACACCCACTTTGAATTTCTGCATTGATCCCTTGGTTGACCAATAGATTGTCAGATGAAACACATTTCTCATCCTGTAGTTCTGCTACTAGAATAGAATCATCACTTCCCCGTGCTTAATCTCTTCATAGGAATAGTAGGTGTTTACTCTTTCCAGAACATTTTCTCTATACACAAATGTATTTAATCCACATAACAAGAAGAGGTAACTGTCTCTGTTTACAGATGGAAGAGTTGCAAGAATGAGGCTAGTCAGTGACGAAGGATCTGTTCTTGGGTGTTACTGACTCCACAGCCCATCTTTTCAACTGCTGCTCTGTATTGTTTTATGATTAGCTTATCACAAAAACTAAACTGTGTTGGAGTTGGTTTTATAGTCACTTTATAAGATTATAGTCTTCCAGAAAGCTACATAAAAGACACAGGTATGAGATGGTTGTCTAAATACTCTAGTAATGTCTGAGCAGGGCTTCTTGGAAGTGATTCATAACAGGAGTTTACTAGCTGTAGACCATAAGCAGATGGCTTAACTAACTTTTAGATACTTGAGTCACTACCATCATCTGTACAGCATAGAAGAAACATAATACCCACCTCATGGGCTGAAGATAAAATGATACACATAAAGTACTTAGTGCTTTGTATGCTCCAAATAAAGGTTTAACTATTGCTATTTTTCAGGTTGGATAACTTGCTTTTCTGTCACCTCACATTTCAGTGGGATTGATCATCATTTCTGGATTAGTTGATGTTCAAATACCTTGATTGTAATTATTGTAATTATTGATTAGTCTTACATGGACTATTGCAGTTAGACATTTTTGGGACTTGAGAGCCAATCACCTTAAACAGCAAAAAAAATTGTATTAATACAACTTTATATAAAATTATTAAACTGTTCATATTTTATTTGTTCTTTTAGTTCCAGTAATAACCATCTTCTGTGTGTAGTAAATGATATTTATGGTTAGTGATTTTTGTTACTATAACACAGCTCCCTAACTTTTCTCTGAATTGCTGTACATTCAGATCACAAGGTTTACATCTGGCACAAACGTAGCGAACTGCCAATTGCGGAGCTGACAGGGCACACACGCACAGTGAATTGTGTGAGCTGGAACCCACAGATTCCATCCATGATGGCCAGTGCCTCAGATGATGGCACTGTTAGAATATGGGGACCAGCACCTTTTATAGACCACCAGAATATTGAAGGTAAGACCATTACAGCACTTGTTTTTTTCAGATGAAACATTTCTCTTGGAAGTTACAGTACTTTAAAGTAGTAATTGAAATTTGGAGTATGACTTAGTTTCTTATATTCCATCTGTCTCACTTCAAAGAAAGAATTTAAAAAATCTAAGGTCTAGTAGACTCTGTTATCTTTGGGAGGAGATAGTGAAGCCTGGAATATACTACCTCATTTGCATCCAGTTAGCTACAGTACTATCACCTTAAAAATCCTGGGTTCTGAGATGGATCAGTGGTTAAGTGCTTGCCACGCAGGCAATGAAGACTTGAATTTGGATCCCCGGGACTCACATAATTCTTGATACAGTAGCGTAATTCTGTAAATCCTGTGCTCTTGTGGCATGTAGGAGGTGGAGATAGAATTCCCAGAAGCTGTCAGGCCAGCTAGTTTGTCATATGCAACAGAGAACAAGAGGGACTTGGTCTCAAGGTGGAAGTCAAGACTTGACACCCAAGTTTGACCTCTGACCTCCACATCTCAGCAATCACATGCACACATTCTTGTGCATGCATACACACACACACACACACACACACACACACACACACAGACACAGACACACAGAAATCTTATTAAAAATGTTGCTTCATGAGGCTGGAGAGATGGCTCAGTGAATAAGAACACTTGCTGCTCTTCCAAAGGACCTGGGTTTAGTTCCCAGCACCCACATGATGGCTCACAACTGCCTGTAACACAATTTCTGGGATCTGATGCCTTCTTCTGGCCTCTGCAAGTTCCTGCCACACATGTGGTATACTTAGATACATGAAGGTAAATACTTAAAAAAAAATAAATTTTTTAAATGTTTCATTGTGCTATATAAATGTAGTATTGCATGAATCATTTTTTTTAAATACTTTATTTTTATTTTATGTGTATGGGTGTTATGCCTGCATGTAGATAAGTGCACCCATGTTGTGCAGTGCCCGCAGAAGAGGCTGACTGTTGGATCCCCTGGAACTGGAGTCACTGACAGTTAGCTGCCATGTGGGTGCTAGGATTCGAACCCATGTCTTCTGCAAGAACAGTCAGTATTCTTAACCGCTGAGCCATCTCTCTAGCCCCATGACTCATTTTATATATGTGAGAACTAATTAAAATATAGAATTTGAGAAACAACTTCAGTATGGGTTTTCTTGGTGGGGGGGTTCTTTTTGTGAGGCAGGATCTCCCCATAGCCCCAGCTGACCTGGAACTCGCCATGTAGATCAGACTGGCCTTGAACTCGGAGATCACCTGCCTTTGCCTTCTGAGTGCTGGGATTAAAGGCGTGTGCCACCATGCCTGGCTCATTGAAGTCTTTTATATATTCTCTTTACCTTTAATCTAAAATTCTTATAGTCTTGTAGAAGAAACTTTTTTTTTTAATTTATAGGTGTAAGGAACTCAAAATATGGCAGAGGAAATTAACTGGTTGAGTGCTGACATTTTTTTCAAATCTATTTTTTTCCACTACTTTGATACTTAATAGATGAAAAAAATAAAGCTAACAGATAAGGACAAATGCTTAATTAAACGTAAAGTCAGTACTAGAGAATAAAAGTAGTAGGAAATTTTACATAAATAGCTTTTTCCAGAGCCAGGCGTGGTGGCGCATGCCAGTAGTCCCAGCACTTGGGAGGCAGAGGCAGATGGATCTCTTGTGAGTTCAAGGCCAGCCTGGTCTACATAGTTCTTCTGGGACAGCTGGGGCTATAGGGAGACCCTGCTTCAAAAAGACCAAAAAAAAAAAAGCTTTTTCCAAAGAGAACATGTAAAAATGTTTGGTTTATTTACAAAATAAAATTCACCTAGAAACAGGTTGTTCTGTTCAGTGTCTTCCACCTAAATTTTTTTTTTTTTTTAAGATTTAATTTTCATTTAAGATTTAATTTTTTTTCCTGGGTGCCCAAGCCACCTAAGGGTGCTAGGAACCAAACTCTAGTCCTCTGCAAGAGCAACAAGTACTTCTAACTGCAGCACCAACTAAGAGTTCCAATTAATGATTCTCACTAGAAAGGAGTTTACTTTTTTAAAGCACAGTTGGAAGAGTAAAAAAGAAAGAAGAATATTTGAATCAAAATTTAAGAATACTGTATAAAGTTGCATGCATGTGAAGGTCAAGGAACAATTTACAAGAGTTCGTTCTTTCCTTCTACCGTATGGGTTCTGGGGATTGAACTCAGGTCTTCAGGCTTGGCGGCAAGTGCCTTTACCTGCAGGAACATCCTGTCAGTCCAACAGTTCTTATTTTAAAAGAGTAGTTGCTAATCTTTCATAATGGGTTGCAGAACTCGTTGGGAGTGAGGATGTGATTGCAGTGGATAGTGAAAAATGGTTTAAAATTTGTATATTGATGGTTATGTGATGTGCGAATATAGTAAAGCTATTGAACATTTTAAAGAGATGCATTTTATGGCATGTGAATTGTGTATTATATAAAGCTCATACATAACACCCCTCCTACATGGAGCTGGGTGATACTATAGACTTTCAAATTAAGCAACTGAAAGAAGTAATAGTGAGAATCTGCAGCTCTACTTGGCAGATTTTTTTCTTTGATCTTTTTGTTGTAAACCATCAAAGACTTTTATGGATGTATTTCAAGGTGAATTTTAAAAAATAGGAAATTCTAATGTAATTCATTCTTTTTCTCTATTCAAAAAAATTCAAGTTTACAACCTAAGAAATCAGACATACTCTTTTAATGACTATTAAAAGTCATTAAAAGTATGAAAGTACTGAGAATTTTCTTTAATTGTTGCTATATTCTGTAATGCTCTGGTGCTGATTTTGAACTTTCTAATGGTATCTTTTTTCTTCCTCTTTCTCCCTGTGCATGGCTCATCTTGTCTTCATTCAGAGGAATGCAGTAGCATGGATAGTTGATGGCGAATTTGGAGCAGACGACTTCTGTTTAACTTAAAATTAGTCGTATTTTAATGGCTTGGGATTTGGTGCAAACAAACATGATTGATAGCTGGACAGACATGCTCGTCATGAAAAAAGAACCATTTCTGAAGCCCGATTGGGGCCAAACATTTACACCTTGCTTCATAGTAACCAGTCGATGAAGCACATCGTTAGAACGTTGTTGGACACCATGTTGAATTATCCCCCCATCGGTTGTGAAGAACTGTGCTACATTCAGGCTTACCCATTGAACTCAGTATATATATTTTTTTCCCTCCTGCCTTTTTGTCTGGCAGGATACCATTCTTGTTGCTCTTCTGTGTAATGAAGTTTAAATGCTTGTTTGGAAAACTTTATTTAACAGTTTAGAAGGCTTGATAGAAAGAGTGCGTTAGTCTGAAGAGTATACATTGGACAGGAAAGAACTTCCTTCTTTTGTTTCTCCAAATCTTTCCGCCTTATTTAGCTTGAGATCTTTGCAGCTTGGTTCATGGATTCTAGCCTTGCCCGTTGCGCAGTATATACTGATCAGATGATAAACCAGTGAACTATGTCAGAAGCACTCTCAATACTACATTTGACAAAAAGTTTTGTACTTTTCACATAGCTTGTTGCCCCGTAAAAGGGTTAACAGCACAATTTTTTAAAAATAAATTAAGAAGTATTTATAGGATCAAAGTGACTTCATTTGTATACATTTGGAATCTAAACCAGCTTAAAAACAGTTTCCTCTATGACTTAGATATGCAGTGTAACTGCTCCTCTGGAAAACCACATGAAATATGGTCAGAAACAGTTCTTGGAAGGACATTACACAGGAAATTCAGAGAAATACTTTGAAGGTTCCCCCGTTTTGTTTTACTACTGAAGGAACATCAGTACCTGATGTTGAAGAAATTCAAGATTCAAAAGGAGAATTTTAAATAAGCCAACACGAAAGAGAGAGATCAGTCTAGGTTTTCAACAAAGCTTGCTCCAAGTTATTCTTGACTAGGGAAGTCATTTTGGTGTGTTCTAGCAAGAGAGTAGAAATCAGGAGATAGAACCACTTCGGGAATTTATAGTGTAGTTGAGACTTGGAACTCAGCAGGTAACAAACTGGGATTCAGCCTCATTGTCCTTTCTCCTAATTACCTGACATAGGGACACACAATTTAGAGGAGAGCCCTTCTCAGCTTTCAGATGTTGCCATACCAAACCTCATTCAAACTGGTGCTGCGGATTGTCTTTCCCTCTCCCTCCCCTTTTAGTTAAGATTCCTTCATGGAAAAAGACCTAATTTTGAGAATCCTACATTTAACATAAGCCTGATGTTCATGGTCTGTTTAAACTCCCTAACAGCTGAGTATAACAGTCTCCCTTGAAATTCCCTGTTCTTTAGTATAGGATAAATAGGGTGACCACAGCTGTTGAGAAGTGGGGATTACCCCCACACACACAAGATGCTGTTGATGAAAATGATCTTGTACCAAGATGCTCTTGAGGCCTAGCCAAGTTTGTAATAGTCTCACTGTGGTTATGCCTCTTCTGTACCCATGAGGAAGACAGACTTGGACTAGAATTTTTCCTTTGTGAGAGTTCATAGAGAGGGAATGGCAGCAGGGAGAGGGGAAAGTCAGGGAAAGGGAGAAGAAAGAAAAACATTTGGCCTTAAAACTGCATTCTTCCAAAAGCCCATCATAAGAGAAAATGACAGATTGTGGTCAGCAGATTATTTTAGCAAATTGGTATGTAAAAATTTCCTTAAGCTTCATTTTGCAGAGACCACCACTTCAGAGAATCAAAGAATTCCTGTTTTGATACTTAAGTTAAAATAATATGTTACCGTTTATCTGGTACTTCATTTTTTCTTGACTAAAATTTTTACTTTAAGCTTGAATAAAAATTTTCATTGGTAACTGTATATAATTAAGTGGCAACTTCTCTTTACCTCAGTGCAGTTAAACCATATTTTGATTCATGTATACCCTGAAGCCATTAATACAACCCAGTCTACAGTAACATCAAAACAAAAAAGTGGGTATTGCACTCCACAGCTGTTTACAAATTTGGTTACATTGTACTACATGGCACATATGTAATAATCATTCGCTCAGATTTGTGCCCATTCAGGGGTCATTTGGCACTCAGATTCTGCTACTGCACCCAGCTACACTTAGGTCTGATTTTTCACAGTGCTTCTGAAGTACAGTTAAGAAACCCGTTAAGTTAAAAAGTGGAGTAAAAGTGAGGGACATCTTGTAAGAACATAACTCCTGTGAAAATGGAGTAACAGCTATGCAAAAGCGTCTGTGGCAGCTTGGTGAGTTTGGCAGCCAGGTCTGTCCTAACCTGCAGCTTCCTCTTTATACTGGTACTTCACTGTGCCAATTTGTTTCAGCATTTGCCATGTAGAGTGCACTAGAAAAGTGGAAAAGATAGTAAACCTAGGATTTTATGATGCAAGGATGGTAGGATTTTTCTAACCCATAGCTATTAACTGAAAATCTGATAATGCGATAGAGTGTATAATAGGTTTAAGAGTGAAAATTCTATCAAGCCAGCCACAAGATACTAACAAATGTATAAACTGAAAAGTACCAATACTTTTTGCACATAGATCAAAATAGTGGAGAATTTTGGCTCCAACCATCAGGTTAGTAGGCTCAATTCCATGTGCTTAAAAATGTTTTTGTTGTTAATGCATTGATTAAGGGCTAGAGCGAGAATGAAATTAAATGTCTTTTCCCTCTAAGTAATTGCTTATTAATGGTAAAGTGTTGGATTTGGGGATCACTGAGGATGGTGTGTGGGTGGTGGTAGAAGAATTAGAGTGGGAGTTAGTTGGGAGGAATGACAAAGGCTTCAGATTTGGTTTTATATTTTATTAGTATTCATGCGCCAGCATTATTTCTGTTCTTGGCTGGCCAGATAAATATGTTGTAGCCATCCAGGTAAGTAGTGGAAACAGGAAAATTTGCAAATGTTCCCACAAATTAACCCGTTTCATTGGGTGGGAGAACAAAGGAAGTGATTTCCCAAACTATAAGTAATTAAAGTAACTTGCTAGTTGAACAAAAACCAATTTTGTCAATATTTTCCTAGTCTAAATAAAATACAAGTAGTAAGACAGTGAGGTTTATTATTAGGAGTGTTCTGCCTGAAGAGTGGCATTCAATGACATTAATAGAAAATCCTTCTTTCCCACCCCTCCCCATCTTGAAATTTTCTTTTTTAGGATGTTGGTTCCTGCAAACAAGAACTGACCCCTGCCTCCCAGTGGGTAAATAGATCGCACATCTCTTGAAAGGGAACATACCCATGTCAGTTACTTTACAACAGAAGAATGGGGAGGAAAGAAGATATTTGTCTTAATATCCTTTTTATCCCATCTAAAAAGTGAATATTTCTATGGAGTAGTTTTTACATTAATTTCTCATTTAGACTTCAGCAACTCTCCCTTTGTGTTGCTGGCCAAATCAAACCTGATTTAACAACTACTAACTTAAAAAGAGGTGAATTTGCATTTACACTTAGACACTTTGTAAAAACAGGGTGAACTTATTTGAAACTTTCCAGTGTTAAGCTATTGTTATAGTAGCTGCCCTATAGTTGCAAAAATAAAACTAAAAAAAAACGTCCCTTATCTACTAATCCAGATAGCCTGGATTTAATGAAGCTAATAGTTTAAAAGTGTGTGTATGTGTGGGAGAGAATACTTAATTCATAATGTCTTGGGACACAGCTGTTCTAGGCTCTTGTCATTTTTACTGAGAGTTTCAAACGTGCACATGTGAAGTGCCCTCCCTGAGTTTAAGGCTTGGTTAATATTTGTCTATTTTTATAAGAATCAGATTGTGTCCCATCTTTAACTGAGGCATCTTGATTGTCAGGATCAGTGTACTAGAACTGAATCATAACATTTAAGCACTGATGGAAAAAAAGTTACTGGCTCCTTGAAATTGTGTGTGTGTGCGTGCGTGCGTGCGTGCGTGTGTGTGTGTGTGTGTGTGGTGAAGGTAGTAGGGTACACGTGCTTACAAACCAAGCTGTAGAGATCAAGGAAGTGCTTCAGTGTTGATCTCAAGGTTTCTAAGTTGTGGAGAGACATGGCATTGTGGTGGAACTTAGTTAACACTTAGAGCTTTTGGTATGTAATAACTATTTGATATGGACTGATTAAATGTTTCCAGAGGATTGTGTTCTTAAACCTTGGGTTTGTTTGTTTAACTGCCTCTCAGATTATATTTAGTAGCTTAAATTTCTTTGCTTTATTATTTCATAAATATAAAAATTTCAGGTCTCATATTTATTTTCACTTGTTCTACTAATTATTTACAAGACACCTTTTTGTTGACTTTTATTTTATAAACGTGTGGTATATTAAATGTCTTTAAATTTTTGTTTGATTGAAATTACGTTAACTTTGATTTGCTTTACTGGGATTTTTTAAAAATTTTATTTTAAATACACCTTTCCCATGTCAGTGCATAGCACTTACTCAGTCCTTTGTATTCCCTTTCTCTCAATCCAATAAACAGAATGAATAATTAATTCTTGGTGTATTACATCTCCTAGTGTCTGTTCTTCTGAGTATTTAAATAGTGCTGTGCTTATCCATGGTTTGCATATGGTTTGCTGACCTCAGGTTTCTGAATGGAATCCAAACGTTTGCAGGGATGCCTTTTTTTGGGGGGGGGGGGCAGGGGATATGAGTATATTGCCTGCATGTGTGTAAGTGCACCGGTGTTGTGCAATGCCCAGGGAGGTCAGAGGAGAGCATCGGATTCCTCTGGAACTGGAGTTACAGACCCTTATTAGCCGCCATGTGAGTGCTGGGAATCAAACCCAGGTCCTCTGCAAGAGCAGTCAGTGCTCTTAACCACTGACCCATCTCCAGCCCCACCTTTTTTTTTTAAAAAAAAATGTATGAATATTTTGCCTGCATGTATGTAAGTATACTCATGGGTGCAAACTCAGAGGCCAGAAGAGGGTGTTGAATCTCCTTGGGACTGGAGTTGGAGTTAATAGATGATTGCTAGCTGTCATGTTGGGAAATGGACCTGGTCCTCTGCAAAAGCAGCCAGTGCTCTTAACCACTGAGCCATTTCTCCAGCCCCTATAGGGATGTCTTGTATATAAATTGACATTTGGCCACAGTCACCTAGGGCTAGTCTGGGGGCAGTGGATCACCTAGTGCAGCTGTGAGCATATGGTGTTTTGTAGTCCTGTTTATGCATGGCAGAAAGTCATGGTTTGCAGCTTCCTGTTAACAGGCAGGGGAGAAGCTCTTCTTGACGGCACTCCTTTCTAGCTGGGGCTATAGCTCAGTCATAGAGTACTTGCTTAGCATGGGACAGGGCCTAGTTTCAAACCCATTCCCAGTCTTTTCCCCCAAACCTCCACCCAACCATTAAGAGTAGTCAGAGCAAGTGCCAGGCACTATGCTGAGCATTTCATACACATAGCACATACGCTTGCTTCTGAGCAGGAGTTACTGCTCACTTTGTTCAGATGAGACTGAAGCTTAAAGAGAGGTCTGTTAGGGGCTAGAGATACAGCTCAGCAGTTAAGAGCTCTGCTCTTGCAGAGGTCCTGGGTTCAATTCCCAGCACCCACATGACAGCTAGGAACCATCCTTAACTCCAGTTCCAGGGGAATACAAAGCCCTCTTCTGACCTCCACGGCATTGCACGGGTGCATTCACATACATGCAGGCAATACACTCATACACATAAAAATAATACTTTTTTTTAAAAAAGTCTGTTAGATTCCAAAACCTGTGCAAAACCCTTAAATTCAACTGCATGTGAGACTCAACTGGGGGCTTTTTTAAATTGCAGATTTCAAAGCCCATTTCAGCTCTTTAGTCAAAGGGAAAACTCTAGAACCAGCAAGATGACTTAACAGGTAAAGCCCTTGTTCCAAGCCTAACCTGAGTTTGATTATCTAGGAGCTACATGGTGGAGAAAGACCCAACTCTAGAAGTTGTCCTCTGACTTCCATGTGTGTGCCATGGCATGTGACACTCTTCCCCCAGCAAATGTAATTTTGAAAAATTTTAAGGAAAATTAATTTTTTTAACACCTCAGGTAAGTCTCATAGAGTACTTGCTTAGCATGTACTCTACCATCAATCCACTCACTAGTGTTTGACCATCACAAGATCATGCTGCCTAACTCCAGTGACGACAGAAGCAGGTAGACTAATCATAACATTAACTGCACATGTATATCTAATTGGTCGCTGAACAATACTGACAAATTAGCTAATATATTCAGGGTACCTACAGCAGCCCATTCACTATGGATGAGCCACTTGACATTATGGAAATAATCAAGGCAGCTTCATAAGGCAGATACTCAATTTCCATCTCAGAGATGAGGGGAAATGGGTATGAAGCTGAGATAGAAAACACCTCCTGAGCTCACGTTTTTAATCACACCCATACAGTCTTTCCTAGTCTGTTAGGTGACCACCTCAGAAAAAACTTTAAACTTTTTTTTTTTTTGGTTGTGAGCATGAGCCTTTGACAACTCTGCCAGCTTTTTGAGATAGGGATCTTCCTGTAGGCTGACCTCAATCTCGGATCCACCTACCTCTGCCTCCCCCACCACCTCCAGTGCTGGGATAAAAGGTGTGTACCACCATGCCCTGCCTAACTTAAAACCTGTTCAAGATAGTCTTGCTTTCCTGTACAGATTGTAGTTAATTGCTTAGTTCATTAAAATGACACCTGAGATTTCGAGACATTTCTCCACATAATTACAGCAGACTCAAGTTTTGTAGAAGGACTCCTCCATAGCAAGTTTGAATATCTTCAGATTGTTTTCATAAATTATATAGTAATTAAAATGAGTTGGGATCATCGGACATGAATGTAAGTCCTATCACTAGAGTGTCTTCAGACAAGTCTCTTGAGTGTGTCCAGGTCTGTCTGCTCATTTGTGAAAGCAGCTAATAGTTCACTACACTGTGCTGTGAGAATGCAAGCAGAAAGTTACCACTGAAGAGGATAAAAGCAGAATTCAGAATCTCACAGGCACTACACAGCAATTCAGTAATCCAGCTTCTGAAACTAAGATGAGAGAGAACCTCAAAGTTTAGTAGGCATTAACCAAATGTGTAGACCTTGTTTGAGTCATGAGCCACTGGGAAATCAAAGCACTAATAGGATAATAAATAGTATCTAGTCTGACTAGTTGTTACTGAGGCAGGAGGTTTATGAATTGGAACCAGGTCTGAGCTATGTATAACAAGACAAAAACCTAGTTTATGTAAGGTATTGGCACTGTTTTGACACTTAAAATTTTACAGATACAGTGATGTTGAACTTGCTTCAAAGCATGGTGGGTGGGTGGGTAGGTTATAGATTAAGTTGATTGTTGCAGCTGGTAAATAGGAAACTACCAACAAACATGGTTTAGAGCTGCCACTCTCTTCCTGTAGATCTACAAAGGGACTGGAGATATAGCTCAGTAATTTGAGCACTTGCCTAGTTTGTGTGAAGCCTTGAGTTCATTTCCCAGCACAAAAAATAATTGGGGGCCAAGGAAATGGCTCAGCAGGTAAAAGCACTTGCCATGCAATCCTCACAACCTGAGTTTGATCCCCAGAATTCACATAAAAAGCTGGATGTGGTGGCACATATCTGGAATCCCAGCATTCACAAGGCAAGTTGGGAGGCAGAGACAGATCACCTAGAAGCTTGGGCCAGCAGGCCAAGAGTATGCTAACAGCAAAAACTGAACAAAACTGCCTCAACAAAGTGGAAGTAAAAAGAGGCACAAATCTGTCCTCAGACCTCCACGTATCTCCCACATGCATAAACTTTAAATTAGAAAATCTATACACATCTGTATGCTACAGAGGATTTTCCTTGTCCCTCAGGTCTCTTAACTGATGATCGTGGCAGCTAATGTGAACTTCAACTGAGTGAAGTTCAGCCCTATCCAGTGTGTAGAATAGGTAGGCCCTTGTCAGATCCGCTCCTGAGACGGGTTCCGAAAAGCGCCTTCCACAGCTGGATTCGTGTTATATCCTCCTCTCCCTCTGAGAATGAAGCAAACTTTGGGAATGGACATATCTACTTCCCCATTGTGCCAGCCAGCCTCCTGTCCCAAGAGTAGATGGTTTGGTGGGGGACAGTGGATATAAAATGAAGTCAAGTTCCTGATCAGAATTAACATTCTGATTGAACATGGCCCTGGGCAGTGGACGAGGAAGAGATGGCAGGAGAGAGATGGAATCATAGTGTACAATTCAACCTCTGCCAGTGCTGGGGTGTAGCTAGTGGCATGTACAAGGCCCTTGGTTCAATCCCTAGCACTGCAAAATCAAAAACTTAAATCATGCCTTTGTAGTATGTTGACAGAGATTCCTTTAGAAGACAGGATCTTAACATGTTTGGGAGTCCCGTGTGTGTTCAGTTTTGGGTTTTTGAGACAGGTCTTTGTGTTTTGTAGCCCTGGCCTTGAGTGCCCCTGCCTCAGCCTCCTGAGTGCTGGGATTATAGGTGTCCATCTTCATCACTGACTTTTAAATATTTGTTAAAACAACTCACATTTTGACCAGGTTCTAATGTTTAATGGGAACTGATAGATGAAACCCAAGATTGCTCCATCACCAATGTAGCAGCACAGATTCACAGCAAAGGAAGCCACAGCCAAACTTACGCTCTCGGCTAACTGACTGACCTTCTTCCCGCACTCCCTCTTCCCTTCCCAGCCTCAGAGGGGAGCAAAGGCAGCCTTTACCTTTTTCTAAAGAGCAACCTGAATGCAGTACCAAGTTAGCTTTGTGGTTATTACTATCATAGTTACTGTAACTGCAGTTAAGGCTTTGAATAACCCTGTCAGCAAATATCCGGGAAAAGTGGCTTAAATCCAAAGCCTTCACTACAAATCCCTCAAAAACAAGAAGCCATCTTTGAAGAGCCTTGTGGTTTTGCTGCATCATAAGTATTTGAATCTAGGACTGGATATAGTTCAGAGGTTAAGAGCACTAGCAGCTCCTGCAGAGAACATGGGTTTGATTGCCAGCACTGATACAGGCAGCTAACAACCTTTGTAATTCCAGTTCTAGGGGCTCCGTTTGCCCTCTTCTGACCTCTGCAGGCATTTACATGACACAGGTGCACTTAAATGCAGGCAGTCCACTCATACAGATTAAAAAAAAAATTTTTTTTGAGACAAAAACTCAGGTTACTGAATATCTGCATGACAACATACAACTTCAGATTCTCTTTGTAGTACTGAGGACAGAACCTAAGACCTTCCTTATATCAGGCAGTTGCTTTCACCGAGTCATAACCCAGTCTTGTCTATTTCTGCATTATTAGAACAAATTTAGAGTTTAAAGACAATTACACCCAGTACATGATACTTTTATAACTACTTCTGATAAAATATGACTTGTTAGAAAAACTCATTGCAGCAGACTCAAGTCGAGCAAATAAAGCAGTTTCCCTATTTATAAGCCAGGCCTTAGAATACTTCACATTGTTAACTGCTTTACAAAAGGGGCTGGGAGCTTAGCTAGACAGATGGCTCAGCAGTTAAAAGCACTGGCTGCTCTTGCAGAAGACAAAAGTTTGATTCCCAGCACCCACATGGCAGTTAACAACCATCTGTAACTCCGGTTCCAGGGGATTCGACACCCTCTTCTGACCCATCTACATGCAGGCAATATACTCGTACACATAAAATAATTAAAAAAATTTTTTTAAAGATAGTGGGCTTTGATCATGTTGCTCTATTGCTGCTGCTTTGACTTAAAGGATATCAGACATCTTGTTATAAAAGCAATAGAACAACACAATCATATTTGTTATTCAACAACCATTTATTGTTTTTGTGTACAAGGCACTGTGTTAGGTGCCAGGAGAGAAAGGAAGAAGACACAAACATGATCAGAGTGGACTCTGCCCTCCAGGAGCGCACAATCTAGCAGGAGAATTCAACCACGCAGTACCACTGGAAAGCACCAAGTATCACAGAAGGAGTACACGGGATGCTTTTGTAGCTCTCAGCTTTAACCAACTGTCAGACCAGGTCAGGGGAAACCATTGGGTTCTTGCTACATTGCTATCTGTGTAACAGGCATGGAAAGGGGCCTGCTAGGGGTGAGGAATGGGCTGCATCTTGGATCTTGCCTCCTTACCTGAGGTACTAGACTAACAACAGCGTCTACTGCAGAAAAGCTACAAGGAGAAAGGAAAAGTGACATGGCACACAGGAGCATCCCATGGTAGTCTACACTGGCCAGGTCTTCAATACTCGGCCTTTACAGAGGGACAGGAAAGTGGAGGGTACAGGAGGAGGACACGGGACTGAACAGGATTCCAGATGCTATCCAGATGAGAATCCTAGGCCTCTGCTTCTCACCTGAGATAAAAATGCTAGAACATGATCTCTATGATCTCTGAAGCCCTCTGCAACCAACTATCCAGTCAATAAAAAAGCACAACCTCCCACATTCTAATAGCTACTTCAGAGCCAGGGCTGGTCTTCTTCCTTTTCACCATTTGTTTTTTGTTTTGTTTTGTTTTTTTAGGTCTTTTTGAGACAGGGTCTCCCTGTAGCTCCAGCTGTCCTCGAACTCACTATGTAGACCAGGCTGGCCTTGAACTCACAAAGATCCGCCTGCCTCTGCTGGGATTAAAGGCATGGGCCACCATGCCCCCACCCTTTTCACCATTTGTAAAGAGTCCCTGCCCCCACCAAAACTAGAGGAATGACTCTTCCCTTTCTGGCTTTGATACAAACAAGAAAGGAGTTAGTTTTTAATTAATACTTCAGAATACAGATCTCCTGGTCTTTTGTTACAAACAAGGCATCTTTCTCATTTACTCAGCCTTAACAATGTAAGCCTGATGCTTGTAAACTGACAGCCCAATCGTGCTATACTGTTTTGAACTTTGGTTAAGAACACTTGAAGAAGTTGAAACATTTTGGTCAAAGTTTTCTACTACCTTGGAGCTTTTAAGTATGACAGTTTGTTTCTTAGTTCTACAAAGTTACATCCTCCAACTGCTTCACTGTTTAAAAAGCTTGAACAATATTAAGAGGCATTGGAAGTTAGGAGAGAAGAGATTGCTTTTTAAGCAGAAGGTACCCAAGAGGGAAAAGTAAGTAAAATCCGTGTTACAGCTGCTTGGCCCTCTGCCAGGCAGAAATACAAGATGACAAAAAAATTTCTGTGATTTCAGAGAAGGCACAGGGAACCAAATTTACTCTGCATGCCATTCCACCTTCCCATTCATGTGTGGCCAGGGAACTGCTTTCATCCCAGAAAACAGTAGCTCATGGAATCTGGCTTCCTTGCTTCTAACAGATCCAGAGCCAAAGAGGCAACATTTAATCTTTGAGGGACCACACACTTTGTTTTATCACCCAGTTCTGTCATGCCAAAGTAAATCATATTTTGCTTAAATGCCAGTGCTTAAGATAGCAACATTAAAGTACAAAGTAAGACTAAGAGTGAATTGCCTGATTCACATTACACTGCAAGACATAAACAGAACTCCAGAAGTTAATTGCTCTCATGGAAGGCAAGAATTTACAAATAGCTCCAACAGAGTGGTTAGATATTGCTATATGCATGCAATGGCTTGTACTGGGTTTCCCCATTCACAAAGTAGTCAGTGCAGGGCTGGGCATGGTAGCACATGCCTTTAATCCCAGCACTCTGGAGGCAGAGTCAGGCACATCTCTTTGAGTTCAAGACCAGCCTGGTCTACATAGTGAACTCCAGGCCAGCCAGGGCTACATAGTTAAGATCCTGTCTAAAACAACAAAAACAAAGAAAGAGACATAAAAACAAAATGGTCAGTGAAGAAGGTAAGGGGATGCCATTAATTCCACACCAAGAGAGGGCTAACAGGCTCAGTTCACGGATGACTGGTTTCCTGCTTCTAATCTGATGAGTGTCTTCTACTAAATCACCTCTCCAAATCCAGAAAAATATATTATCAAAGAGATCAAATACAAAAGGAACAATTATAATACAAAAATAAGAATGTCAAAAGCCAAGGGGATTGTTTGGGGGTGATTGTGGAGGTACTAGCTTTAAAATGAAAGCTCTTGATAAAA